CAAGATCCTGCATTTCAAAAACCTCTTGCAACACCATCTCATTCATCTTATACTGATATTTTAAAGTATTTTTTTTTCCTAGTAAAGTAAACAACATAACATTTGCTGATATTAAAATGGAGATTATTTGCATCAGACTATTGATAAAGCTTATTCGAGGGGTAAACCACTGAGAAAAATGTGTACACTAATTCCCGGGATGGTAACTAATTCCTCTTATTCCCCTAATTCCCTTCTAATTGCCCTGATATTTCTAATTCCCAAAGTAATTCGCTTAATTTTCTAATTCCCTACTTATTCACCAAATCTATCACAAAAATTTGGTCACATAATGGTGTACAATAAATCAAGAATATCTAGATGTTTGCACTATTACATGTTAAAATAAATAAGTCCGTAAAAAAGCTGGGGAAAAAAAAATACATGGGCAGCTTCTGTTAAGTCGGTGGCTTAGTCCTTTTCATAGTCAAGTTCGGAATTTTGGAAGGTGATTTCTCCAATATTTTCCGACGTGTTTTCCTTGTACTGCCTAAAAAACTTTTTAATCAGTCAGTACCTACTCAATCTTCCGCTAGACTGATCTAAAAGCCAGCAGCACAATGACTTTTTAATGATTGAATAATTTTTACCAACAACGCCGAAGTTTATATAACTTGTTGCCAAAGTATCACATTCGCGATCTTCATGAGAAATTTCCAAGATTCTTTTTTTTAAAAATAAGTCCATCTTAGTCATTTTCAATTTCTTCAAGGTTTTCGTCAACTTCAACGTCGCCTTTCTCAATCTCCATGTTTTCCTGTGTATATTCGATATTTCGTGTTCGGTTTATTGAAGGTACCTGCATATATCTCCAATCGGTTTCTTTAGCATTAAGACCGAATTGTGTCATATCCTCTATGACATTTTGCAGAGTTTCTTCAACTGTAGGTAGCTTTGATATCCAAATTTCTTCTTTACACAGTAGTTTTGTTGTTATTTTTATTCCATCAGGTTTTAGGGAACGAGTAGGTACGCATATTTGTTCAAATATGTCTGGTGTCTTGTACATCATTCTTCATTTTTTTTTTCACTACTGCAGTGGTACCACACCCAATCTGGAACTGGTAAAGAATGGAGTAGTTCTGTATCTTCTGGGATTATTATGTTTTTTCTTTTTATTCAGGAGCTAAACGAGACATCAAATCATTATTTAAATGCATATCAGGCGATTATCTGTCTGAGGAAAATCCGAGGGAAGATCCCATAATTGCGATGCCAAATTTCTTAGCTTTCTCCTTCATCCATTCCCATCTCAAAGTGACCTGCTCAGTAGTCAATGAATTATCAGTTCCGAATAAGGACAGACAGTATGTTGATGTCCCAGCATGTAACGGTTAAGCCAGTATTAGATAGGCATGTACTGCTTGTACTCCAGTTTAAATATATATCTTGATTGCTTCAGCAGAAGTGGCAGAAAACGTACCTTGTTGACTCAGGCCTTCCCTCAGCGTTGTTTGAGCTAGTAGAATTTTTGAGTAGTCGAGTTAAATCAGGCACAGATTGATAAGTCTTTTGGACAGTTTCTATTTCACTTATGTTCTCCAAAAGTTCCTCAGCTAGTACACTATTTCTACATACTTATAGAAGATTCTCTTAATGGAATTTGGAATTTTACATGGGGAACAAATTGGTTTCTCGATTGGTTTGGATGCGAAAGCTCGCAACATAAAATTGGCATCACAACTAATAGAATTTATTACCGTATTTCCGATCGGAATACCGTACCTTTATACAGTTTTATATTTTTACGGACAAAGGGTTTATTCTTGGACGAGCAGATTTATATTTCGCTGGCTGAAAGGAAATCATTTTTTTGTCACTAGTAGTTCTATGTGATCCGACGTTGACTGATTTGGTTTCTATATTTTCCCACTAATTTCCCGAATTTCCCGACTAATTTCCCAAATTTCCTGACTAATGCTTTAATTTTCCTTCTTGAATTGTAATATACTATTCCAGTGTTATTGCCTGAATTTATTTTTTTCTGATTGGCTTGCGAATGCATTGGGCTATTGATAACTACAATTTTGTTTATTTGTGCTCGTCCTAGAGTTATTGATCCCACAGAAGAACTACGTTTTGTTTTAGAAATACACTGTTGAGCTAGGTTCTCATTATTCACGTTTTTGCCTCCATCGGTATTAAATCCAATGGTGCAGTTTTACTAAAGAATGCTTTATGTTAACTCCACAAAAATATAAAACTCGTCCGACTCGCTCGACTGTTCTACACTATTTCATCAATCAATCAATCAATCAATCAATCAATCAATGTATTATTCATAATATGTATTTACTTAGCATTTTACGAAATATCAATGGAGAATAAATCGAGGACAAAAAAAATAAAACATGCTTTCTATTGGTAGAATTACACCATCTCCAACAGTATTTTAGAAAGCTTCAGTTGTATTTTAGAATAGTCATTTGTATTTTAAAAATCTCCCCATATGAATAATGGAATAAATTTCTTGAATACAAATGACTATTCTAAAATACAATTGAAGCTTTCTGAAATACTGTTGGAAATGGTATAGTGTGACATGAGCGTATTTTTGTTAGCTAATAAAGTGAATGAACGTTCAGTCAAGTGTGTTTCAATACACAACACTAACATAATATTTGTACAAAATAAATTTCAAAGATCTCTCTATATGTTCTTGAAAGCTCTTAAAAAGAATAAGATTATTAATCATAAGAAGTGCTCGAAGAGGTGTGCAACTGCAAATTTTTGCCTAGAATACCTACTTCTACTTTCAATGAGTTCAGTTGTAGTTTCTAGTATGTAAATCTCACATACTCTGAAAATTAAAAATATTTCACTTTAAAAGATTTTTGAATGATTTTTACGCTGGGTATAGACAGTTTTGGTTTGCTCAAGAGCACTCATTGCCTTTGATTATTTTATTAGAAGACAAATTTTTCAGCTTTGCGTAGGTAAGTACTGAAGTAGATTTCCAACCTCTATTTCTTCATATAATTCGAAATATGATTTTTCAGCTTCATCAAACTGTTCACTTTTTCAATATTGAGTATTTTGAGAGGTTGTTAGGGTATTATTGAGATGCCTGTTCCAGAGGCGGCACTTGGATGTATTGGACCCCTAAGCAAATATCACAATTAGGCCCCCCTGCGTTTTATTAATGGCAAATTGTTTGACTAAAAGAGCCAATTTTGAAACTGCGGAAAAGGAATTTCTGTTATTATCAACTCAAGAGCTGCTAATGAGTAATCGAAATTTTGATTATTATCGGCTCTTGAGTCTTGATTGCCCTTAGAAAAATTCTCTAGAGAATCCACAGTTGATAAAAGTTTAAATTTTGACTATTACTGGCTCTTGATTGGCTCCAGGGAAGTTTTCCAGAGAAATAAGAGCCGGTAATAGTTCAAATTTTCATTATCTGTGGCTCTTGATCCATTGGATAATTTTTCTTTAGCCAATTAGAAGCTGTGGAAGAAGAAATTTTGATTAATATCAACTTATCGGCTCTTGAGCTTTGAATGCCCTTAGGAAAATTCTCTTGCGAATCCAGAGTTAATAAAAGTGCAAATTTTGACCTATTAGCGGCTCTTGATTGGCTCTAGGAAGGTTTCCCAAAGAATCAGGAGCCGGTAATAGTTCAAATTTTGATTACCTGTGGCTCTTGATCCATTGGATAATTTTTCTTGGGCCAATTAGAAGCTAAGGAAGAAGAAATTTTGATTAATATCAACTTAGGAGCTGCCAATGATTATCCAAAATTTTGATTATTATCGGCTCTTGAGCTTTGAATGCCCTTAGAAAAATTCTCCAGCGAATCCAGAGTTCATAAAAGCTCAAATTTTGACTATAACCGGCTCTTGATTGGCTCCAGGAAAGTTTTCCAGAGAATCAAGCGCCAGTAATAGTTCAAATTTTCATTATCTATGGCTCCTTTATCCATTGGATAATTTTTTTGGAGCAACTAAATACCAACTATCAATATTGGATGCTGTGCTATGTCTGATAGACAAAATAGAAAGATCATGCTGACTTATGGAACTTCTCAAGTGATTTTTCAATATTTTTAATTTACTAAATGACTTTCCAGCAATGGAATAGTATATTGTTGTATTAGGAGTAGAAGCTTAACTTTTTTGTGCTGAAGCAGTAGGTTTGCAAGCCGAACGTAGTGAGGCTTGCAATACTGCTGAAGCACAAAAAAGTGCTTCTACTCCGTACGCAACACGCTATTTTTTCTCCAAACGAATGAGGTAAGCTTGGGGGCAACTGAATGGTTAAGCGGCAGTAAAAGTACGAGCGGCACTAAAAGTACTTTTGCTGCCGCTCCAGCGGCACTAAAAGTACTTCTACTGCCGCTGCGGTTGCCTAGCAGCATAGAAATTAAATTTCTACCATCTCGACAGGTGTTAACCCGCTGGATTTGCCTACCAGCATAGAAATTAAACTTCTAACATCTTGACAGGTGCTGAAAAAGTGACGTTTTTTTGACGTTTGGAGAAAAAAGTATTTTTACTTGAAGGGGGCCCTTTTGGCCCCCTTTCGTGCCCGGGCCCCTAAGCATCGCGTATATCCGCTTAATGGATATCGCCGCCACTGGACTGTTCTATAGGTTTCAGTGGAAGGGATTTTTTAAATTTTAATTTTTTTGTCTATTCCAGGCTTTTCAAGTTCTGTCTCCTCCAAAAGTTCTCTAAATAAAGTTAATTCAAGATCCTGGGAAAAGAAAAAGTTAAAAGTCTTATTAGAATAGTTATATTTGCCTATTATTATTTATAGTAAATTGGCGAGTTAGTGGTAAAGTAACCCTGGGGAAATGCATTTTGTACCTTTTCTAAACTATTTGAAAGAAGATATATTATGATTTTGCATTTTAAAATAATCATCACCAATAATGAATTGGTCAACTCTTAAAATTTTGTTGCTGGCAACAAACATCTCACTCAACAAATATTTAATTGGGGCTATATTTTTTTTCATAGGTTTTTGTGGCTGGTTGCGATAAACAAGCCAAAATGTGGGACTTGGCAAGTAACCAATTGGTGCAAGTGGCAGTACACGATGCTCCAATAAAAACTTGCCACTGGATCAAGGCTCCTAATTATTCGTGCCTAATGACCGGCTCCTGGGACAAAACATTAAAATTTTGGGACACTAGGAGCCCCGCTCCGATGCTTAGCATCAATTTGCCAGAACGCTGCTACTGTGCTGACGTTGATTTTCCTATGGCGGTTGTTGGCACTGCTGGAAGGCAAATTATTGTTTATCAACTCGAAGGGAAGCCACAAGAATTCAAAAAATTGGACAGTCCTCTGAAGTATCAGCATAGATGCGTCGCAATTTTCAAAGACAAGAAAAAATCTCCTACAGGCTACGCTTTAGGTTCAGTCGAAGGCCGAGTTGCTATTCAATATGTGAACCCTGCAAACCCCAAAGATAATTTCACGTTCAAATGTCACCGCTCAAATGGCACTCCGAATGGTTTCCAAGACATTTACGCAGTCAATGATATTGCTTTCCATCCAGTACACGGTACTTTATCGACAGTAGGAGCTGACGGGTCGTTCAGTTTCTGGGACAAAGACGCCAGGACAAAACTGAAAGCTTCCGAATTAATGGAACAATCTATTTCCAGGTGTGCTTTCAATCACAACGGGCAAATATTCGCCTACGCTGTTAGCTATGATTGGAGCAAGGGGCATGAATTTTACAATTCTCAAAAGAAAAATTACATTTTTCTCAGGAGTTGCTATGATGAACTTAAACCTAGGACTTCATCCTAATTTATTTTGATATGTATTGTTAATCCAAATAATTATTTTTCTTTTGAATTATGTATAGGAAAATATTTTCTTTTCCTCGTTTTTTTTTATAACTAGTTTTTGTAAGTACGCTTATGTTCACCTATGTAATAAAATATAATTATGTAATATGTAATGGAAATGAATTTTTTTTGTTTTTAACTGGGAATTGGTTCTTGTAAGTAAAAGTAGGTTTTTGTTTTTGTAGTTGTCTTTTTATTCATTCATCTCAACAAAACCCAATTTTTTTAGGGAATTTTCATATTTCTCAAATTATTTTTTTTTAGATACTTCTAGTGATCAGTTATTACATAGTTTTCTTTTTTTCTATTTTAATTTATACGTTGTACGAAAAAAAATTTATTGAAATTCAAATCAAATACTTTGGCGCGAAAACACAAAATCTCAATTTGACAGCGCCTGTAACGTTGAGATTTTGTAAACATCAAATACGCAGCAAACGAACTCCTGCTGACGCAGTGCTATTTTTGTCTTATTCAAGTGTGTTAAAGGTGTTGCTTTTTATGAAAATTGTCGCAATGGATGAAGAATATTGTGAAGGACTGCTTTTGTATTTTTTTTACGTGCAAGTTCCCTATCACAGATTTCCCTATTGACGGGTTTGTTTACAGAATCGTGACGTCAAAACAGGTATCCATCATAGGCGCATTGTTTTGGCGGGAAAATTTTTATTTCAAATTTAATATTATTTTTTGTGTAACAAGGGCAGTATCACTTAAATAAAAACTGGTCATATGAATATTGTGCAGTATAAACTATCGATTTAAAACAAATTTGGAAAATTTTAGTTCACTTGCAAGTTCCCTATTGAAAAATTTTCCAGTTTTTGGATAAGACTGATGCATTTTCTTATAAATATTATCAATTTAATGAAGTACAAAATTCCCTAATTGTTCATGCAATACCAGCTTGGTTAACAGAAATCATACGGACAAATCACAAAGTAGATTAATTTGAATAGGAAAACAAAAACTAAATTTTGTTTTTTGTTTACCGTTTTCCAAGATGCTGTATGCAACTTAATTTTTTTAAATGATAGTCTTTATATTTTTATCGTAACTAATTCAGCGACCCAACCTTAGATTGTCCCAACATTACTTAACCACCTAAATGCCAAACCTCCATTTGACTTGGTTTTTGAAATATGGCAAAACAGGCTTTTGAAAAATATGATATGATAATGTGGTTTTTTTCAACTGACAGGCAATGTAGCAACATATCAATCACGTATATTTTGTGTGAAAAGTGAATTAAAGCTAATCAATCGGCCGAAAAGTCAGTTCACAGTGTTCCCGGGAATTTTCTTCTCTTGTGTGAGTGTTCGTGGATCTCCGACTTATGGATTTTCGCTGGAAAAAAACCATAAAGTCGTGACTGTGTGACTGTTTGTTTACCGCAGTTTCTAACCTCAACTTGTGATCTAAACCTTAACCCGACTTTCCTAGCAAGGATATTACCAGTCAGAGGCTGTCACTACGCTAGGTTAGCGTCACTTCTAGCAGATTGGTGACGTAGGCATAGATGCTGTCCGTTCTCTTCAGAATTTCCTTGAAACCAGGTTTTTCTCGAAATAATATCGGGGAAATTCCACATACCACAGGGACCGAAAGTATATTATACTTATTCGAGGATAGATCCATCAAACCTAATTATGAGCCAAATTTGCTATTTATGCAACACAAGCTGCATCTCCAAGGAAGATAGATGTACCGTTTTCGGTTTTCCATGCGATTCCTGCAACAGGCCAATATGCAAAACCTGTAGTGGAGTAAAAACTGCAACTGAGATACGAGCCATCTTGCTCCAAACTCGTATCTGCTTATTTTGGTGTCCTGAATGCAAGGATAAAAATCTAGCGGACAAACTCACTCCTACTCCTCTGCTCTCTAGCATCGATAGTCAGGACCCGCCAACACCGACTATAGGTCATTGCCCTTCTGCTAGCATCGTCAATAAAGCAACCGAAGTAGAAAACACTTATCTCAAACTGCTCAACAAAGAGATGGAAGACAAAAACGTTATTCTTAAGTCCAATGTTAGTCTCCTTGAGCTTAGAATCAAGTCACTGGAATCTGAACTGTCTGCACTTCATGAGGCACCTACTCCTCGGGATGGTGATGACGCGCCGGGTGTGTCTGAACCCAAACCACTTCAAATTGCAATTGAGAGTCTGTTCTATGAACTTAAAGAGAGAGAAAGCCGTCGATCCAACTTCATAATCTTCAATTGCCCAGAGTTGACTACCAACATCAATGAAGTAGCTAGTAGTGTGACTGACCACTGCCTCGGACGGGCAGCTGGAGATGATCTTCAAGTATTTCGCTTGGGGAGAGTGATTCCTGGCAAGAATAGGCCAATAAAGGTGATATGCAGCTCAAGTAACTTAGCAAACGATATCCTACGCAACTCAAATAAGCTCAGAGCACATAACAATCTCAAACACCTGTCAATTAGGGAAGACAAGACTACTCAGCAACTCCAAGAGTATCGGAAGCTCAAACAACAAATGGGATGAACGTGTTAGAGCTGGTGAGACGAACCTAAGGATAGGTCACAAAAATGGATCGCCCACAATTATCGCCACTAATCAAGCTGTAAATTTAAACTGATAGGGTTGTCTAGCAGGAATATTCAAATAACATACCAAAATGTTAGGGGCCTTAACACTAAAACCAATGTATTATATAAATCGGTTTCTCTCTGTGAAAGCCATGTTGTGGCAGTATCGGAAACTTGGATCCAGGATGGTGTATTTGATAATGAATTGTTCAACGACAACTATGCTGTCTATAGGGCCGACCGCAGGCTTGATCTCATGGATGTCTCAAGAGGTGGAGGGGCGCTTCTTGGTGTTAGGCACGACCTCACCTCGTCAAAACTTAACCTGGAAGAACTGGAAAATCTGGTACCTGTTGTTGATATTGTAGGCTGTAAGCTATATTTAGATAACTCTACCCTATTTATTTTTGGTATTTATATTCCACCCAACTCACCCTCCAACTCACACCAGACCCTATTTGATTTTTTCTCCACATATGAACCTATTCAAAATAACAAAGTCGCTTTTATCGGTGATTTCAATCCCAACACAAATGTTAAGGAAACTCATATAAATGATTTTTTAGCGCTGGGGGGCCTAACACAATTTAACACTTTCTCAAACATTTCGGGTAACATATTGGATCTTGTTATTGCTAACTTTGAATGTGAGGTAACTAGAGAACATCTTCCCCTTGTCCCGGAGGATTCTGCACACCCCACCCTTAATGTTTCATTTGACATGCAGCTAAACCCAGATGCGGGTTTCAGTGACTTTCCAACCTCTAACACAAGTAGAAACTATAACTTTAATAAGGCCGATTTCAACCTGATGTACCATCTACTTACTGTCGCAAATTGGGACTCTTTAATCAATGAATCTAATGTTAACCAAGCCGTCAATCATTTCTATGATACTCTTTACACCATTTTTGACCAATGTGTCCCATTGTATAAAAAAAAATCAAGTAGGGTTGTGTACCCCAACTGGTACACCAAAGAAATAATAAACAATCTTAATGAGAAGACTAGGCTTCACAAAAAATATAAACAAAGTGGCTCAAACTTGGACTATCAAGCATATTCAAACATGAGACGTATGACAAAAATAAAAATTGATGTCGCATACAAAGCATATATAAGGGACACTGAATCTTCAATCAAGGTGAATCCAAAGCACTTCTGGAAATACATTCGTCAAAAACGCAATAAAACACGTATCCCAAGTAAACTAATTTCTGGTCAATCCTCCCTAGATTGTCCACAGAGTATAGTTAATGGCTTTGCAGAGTTTTTTAAAAGTGTCTATGAAGCATCTTCAGATTTTAGCTTGGATAGCCTGAATGATGTTGGCAACTTTCAGAACATTAATGTCACCCATATTACTGAATCGGAAATCTTTGATTCCCTGAAAAAATTGAAAAACACACATACTTCTGGGCATGACAAAGTACCATCTTTCATACTGCGGGACTGTGCCCCATGTTTTACATCTCCACTGCACCACATATTTAATTTAACAATCAAGACACACACTTTCCCCGATCACTGGAAAAAAACTAAAATATGTCCAGTATTTAAGGGCGGGGATATTAACAATATCTCTAATTACAGACCAATCTCGATTTTGTCCAACTTTTCGAAGGCCTTTGAGGTCTGTGTATATGACAATCTCTTCCACCAAGTTAAAAACTTAATTACCACTATCCAGCATGGATTTTATAGCAAACGCTCAACTGTCACTAACCTAACTTCTTTCCTAACAAAGGCATATCAGGCTGTAAATGAAAGAAAACAACTTGATGTGATCTACACGGACTTCTCGAAGGCGTTCGATAAGTTGGACCATGGGCTTATTGCTCATAAAATGCTACAAATTGGGTTTCACAACAACCTTATTAATCTATTTATCTCCTATTTCAGTGGTAGGTCACAATTTGTCGAATACAATGGGTTCCAATCCTATGATTATAATGCCACCAGCGGAGCCCCTCAAGGAAGTAATCTCGCGCCTCTGATATTTGCCATATTTGTCAATGATATTGCCCAGAACGTCTCATCACACAGTTTATTATTCGCAGACGACCTCAAACTATTTAGAATAATTAACAACTTGGAGGATTGTAACGAGCTGCAGAAAGATATTGACGCACTTTCAGGTTGGTGTCAAAATAACAAATTATATCTAAACATCAATAAGTGTAAATCAATGACCATCTCAAATCTCAATCATGAGTTGAATTTTAATTACCAACTCCAATCTAGTTCTCTTTTGAAAGTTGACTCAATCCGGGATCTGGGGGTGGTGATCGACAAAAAGCTCACATTCAATGATCATATTGATCAAATTGTGAATTCATCATTGAAAACCCTGGGGTTTATTATTAGATCAACAAGAGAGTTTAAGAACATCGACAGTCTCATCACGTTGTACAACTCTTTGGTCAAGTCTAAATTGCAGTATGCTTCTCTGGTGTGGTTTCCTTACCATCAAGTACATGTGGACAGGCTTGAATATGTTCAACGGCGATTCCTAAAGTATCTAAGTTTCAAAAAGGATGGAATTTACCCTCCAAGAGGATTTGACCACCAGTTGCTACTCAGCAAGTTCAACTTCCTCTCACTTCAACAGAGTACAATTTTAGCAAGTCAACTCTTTCTTTTTAAATTATGTAACAACCTGGTGGACTCTCCAGATCTTCTAAACAGCCTTAATTTTTCTTTACCAGTAGTCAACACACGCTCTCACCGTAAATTCTATTTGGAAAATCGCCCCACATATCTTGCCAGAAATGAGCCAATCTATCGAGCCTGCTCATACTTCAATCACCTGCAGAACAGTATCGATGTAGACTTATTTGTAGGTTCAGTAAACTCCTTTAAAAAAAATATCCTGCCAGTGGTTCGCAATCTGTGATAATGTATTTGCTGTGATAATTGTCCTGGCGGAAGTATGGGAGGTGACTTTCTATCTCTATTTTTATTTCCTATTTTAACTGAGTAAACAATGCTAGTTTTTCTTATTATTTTTATTTGTATTTTTGTTTTTATTTTTATTTATACTTATTTTTATCTATATTTTTATTTTTATTTTTATTTTTATTTTTATTTTTATTTTTATTTTTATTTTTTGTTATTAGGTATTTTTGTTTTTAGTTTCATAGTTGTTTTTATTTTTGTTTAAGGCTTCTTATTAGCTTTCTGCTTAGCTTTTAAATTTTCATATTTTTGTTCGCTCTTAAGTGCACTAATTGTCTCATTATTGGGAGTATGTATTCCTGTTAGACAATAAAGAATTGAATTGAATTGAATTGAAATAAAAAATGTATAGCGGGTCTGGTAGGCCTAGGTAGGAGATATTTTTCCTAGACTTATTTCTCTTTCAAATATGTAGAGTCCGCGTCAAGATTAAAGAGTACGGTGTTGTCATTTGCGCACAAACCCAATTTTGAAGACTCACCGAAGTATCGTATTGATCGGTGCTGCTGCCGAACGCCAAGCACGTGGTTCATTGTCGTACGGCCAGCAGGCATATTTATTTAGTTTATTTTGTATCCAAGTTTTGTCTAAAAAGATACCTCACTGCTGGTTTCAGCTCACGGCCGAGGTCACGGCAGACAGCGAGAGATAGACGAGGGAGAGAGATCCGACCCGCTTCGCCCAGCTTTTTATTTCGTCACCGTAGTCTTTAGTGCTGATTTTACCTCTATCAATAGTGCCTGGTCTGGTGGATATAATTTAAAAAAAAAAAAAAAACGATATTCTCTCAAATATTCTTAAAAAAAAAATTTGTATTACCTATCTAGTAAGAGAAATTAATCTGACTTGAACAATATTATGTAGATATTCTACTTCAAATGAATTCACTCACTCCTTAGAAACTAACAAATATATAGACCCTGAGATAGGGCCTGTTTAGTGGAGTCATTTTTTTTTGTCTGGCATTTTGAGGGATGAATGTGACTAGTTAGCTGATGAGAATATAAGTGGTTTTAATGCCTGCCTCCTGTTCGAAATGTCCACAGAATGTTTCGCCGGAAAACTCGATTTCAAACTGTGATTACCGTCTGGCGATTTTTCAGCGTTATTTTCACAACAAAACCTTTCATTCTCTCGATTGCCAAACAAAAAGTAAACGCGGAAGGTTCTTTTCTTTTCTCTTGGAAGTTGACACCCATCCCCATTTCTTCAGCTATTGAATAGCATCTGATATTTTTCATGGGTGAATTATTTATCAATGTCAATCTTTTATTTAAAAGATAGAAAATTTGAGATCATTAAAAAAAAATTCTTCATGTAAATCAATTTTTTTCTTCTGCAAATTTTCGAACGGGAGGCCGGCATTAAAATCACCCATATTCTCATCAGCTTAGTAGCCACATTCAGCCCTCAAAATGCTAGACAAAAAAAAATGACTCCACTAAACAGCCCCTATCTCACAGTCTAATAGTAAAAACTAAATAAAATTGAATAAACTAAATTAAAACTAATTTTTTTCGTACTCATTAAAAAAATTAAATAATACATAATTAAAAAAACATGAAGTTAGTTTTCATCTTCTTCAATTTTAGGTGCCAAATAGTAACGTAAATATCCCAAGTCAGGAATTTCATATTCAACTACCAATGGTACATTGTCACACATGGAAAGTGTAACTTGATTACTCAAAGGTGTTGCTTTGGCAAATGAGTTCAAGTATTGACAAGCGAACGTTAATGTGACTGGTTCTTGCATATCGATAACAACAGAATCTTCCTCTTTATCAAAATTGATGGTTTGGGCCAGTTTAACATTTCCTGTACCAATGTCGCCGCTGGCTGAGAATTTTACTCCTTCCTTTGTGCAAGATATAACGATGGACTCTCCAAACTGGGACAAGTCTCTTATAATCCTAGCATATTCGGCGGATGGCATTTTGATTATACAAGAGAATTCAGTGTCGGGAATTCCCAGATGTTCTTGATCTAAATTCATGAGTTTCATTTCGTAGTCTGAGATTTTATCTTGCTTTTTTGCTTCAAACATGAAGGACACAGTGTCTGCATCGTCTTGGGCTTTAATTGTGACTGTATCGCCTTCTCCAGAGGATTTGAACACTTTTGCAAGACTGAAAAAAAAAATAATACCTATTATTTATAGCTGTTTTATACCTTTGAAACAAATTAACAATCAGTTAAACCATGATTGAATTTGAAGTTGTCCAAAATTATCATAGACAGTAAATTTGATTAATTCAATAAGATTTTCTTTGTATTGAGATGAAAATAATGGTCAAATTAGGGTGTAAACTTACCTTGCAAGGTTCATTCCCAAGATCAGATTTCTATCACACCGATATTTATCGAACCCATCAGATTTCAGGTTCAAGGATACCAAGGAAACGTGAGAGTTATCCATAGCTTGAAGCTGGATACCGGAATCCGAACAATCGAAAGAGCCCTCATTTAGCAAATCTTTGATAGCATCCAAGACCTTCTTGAATATAGCACTGTTTAGTAATCTTGCTTCGAACATTTTTGTGTTTTTTTATTTGGTAGGTATAGAATATGTTGGATACAAATTTGGTGTTAGACCAAATGAAAAATCGAACAAAGGAATTGAATTTAAAAAAAGAAACGAGAAACACCACACAAAAAATAAAATGGCTATTGGAACTAGTGGTCAGTGCAAGCCGGAAAAAGGCGGCAAAAATTGACAGTTGTGAGATGTGAAGGACTTTGACATCAATGACACATTTTTTGACTCCAATTAGGTGTTTTCATTTGTATTTGCTGGACCTGCTCCAGGCAGATGTTCGGGTGTGATTTTTTCGTACCAAATAGAGTAGTCCTTAAAAGTGCCAAAAGTTCTATATCAGGGAAATTTCTAGTTTATAGGCGTTTGTGTGGAACTAAACAAAACGCTTTGCTTGACATTTTGTTCTCGCTCGGAATTCTGGGGCTGGAATTCATAAAATTTATTTGCAATCCAAGAATTAAGGCCCATCCTCAATCAATCTGGTAGCGAAGTGGCACTTCGGCACGCATGCTAGAACAATGTTATTTAACGTTGGCATCCTCAATTAAATTTCGTGCTAACATGCACGCCGACTCTGAAGTGCAAGCTTGCAAGCTACAAGCTTTTTCGATGCGTGACAACTTGTGTCATGCGCAGTACATTAATGGCCGTTTGCACCGACCATTTTAAGGAAGGCTTAACGTTAAGTACTCCTTAAAGTGGCATTTTTACATGTAAAAATGTCATTTTAAGGTGAATTTATCGTTAAGCCTGCCTTAAAACGGTCGGTGCAAACGGCCATAAATTACCATTACATAAATTGACAGCATGCTGAAGTGCCACTTCGCTACCAGATTAGTTGTATTCCTTTCACACCTAGGAGGAGCTCCGGAACAGCTCCGGGGCTTCACGCGCTTATTCCTTTCGAAAAGTGTTTGTTGCACCACGCATATGTTCCCTGCAAATCGGGGGCGACTAAGCACCGACGAAGCGAGTAGCTCGAGTGTTTCAAGCTCTTGAAAGGAATACAACTATTGATTCATTGATTGAGGATGTAGCTTAAGGCTGGTCCTCAATCAATTTGGTAGCGAAGTGACACTTCAGCACGCATGCTAGGATAATGTTGTTTAACGTTGGCATCCTCAATTCAATTCAAGCTGCAAGCTTTTTCGATGCGTACCGACTTGTGTCATGCGCAGTACGGTAAAAAATAATTCAGCTTATCCTTGCGTTCGGTATTCTGCTTGAAGAGCAGAGAGTGCAAAGCGAAACTGTAATCACGTGACCAGCGAGCGTACAGAGCAGTTAAACGCTGTATCAGAGGGCTCGAAATTTTAATAAACGAACGGGAATGAGCCTGCATCGAGTACACTTTTTAAATAAACGAACGATAAATTTATGATCAGAGAACTCAGATCAAAATACCGAACACACGGTTAATGACCGTAAAGTCTGTTTTTTTTTTTTAAAGATAATTTCCCAAGTCAAAAATCTAGTAACTATGTTGGCTAGGGTGACCATATTTTTTTTGTATGAATGCTGTACACATCTGAAATTTTGGGAGTGGAGAAAGCACTAAATGCAAATTTTTTCGACTTTATAGCCCGTTTTAGTACTACTTAACAAACAAAAAAATGAAAGATATAACATAATAGGTCTGTTCGCACAAAAATCACAAACCAGTCAGAGTGAATTTCATTGGTTGAAAACCTTAATGGTTGAAACCAAGGTTGTTTGAAAGAGGTAAGGTTGGCTGATAACTTTTATGACGTCATCTGGATGCTTAAACATAATACAAATCCAAATACAAACACAAAAACATAATAGATCTTCCTGATGACGTCATCTGTTTATCATTACCAGACAACCTATTAACTTTAGAAACCTTGGGTTGAAAGAAGCAGCGTGGAAACGAGAGAGAGATAAAAAAGGTAGTTAGCATTAAAAAGAATACTCTGGGAGATGATGGCGTAAATGACGTAAATCGCAATTGTAGAAATGTCGTTAGTTAAGTACCTACCTATTGACGGACAATTTTTCGTAAATTTTTTTTAAGAAAAACTAATTTATGTATCGGATCCGAATCGCTGTACGTTTGCTGTACAAAATCAAATGCTGGACAGACTTTGAAAATGCTGTACAATACAGCGAAATGCTGTACGTATGGTCACCCTAGTGTTGGCAACACATGCCTTTCCTACATAAAAAATTTGAAAGCATTGACAATTTTACATTGTATTGCCAACATAATGTCATTTTGACTTTTATCTTTAAAAAAAAAAACAGATTTTACTACACGCACAGCAGACTGAAAATTGACAGCATTGAGGATGGGTATGAATTTTCCAGCACGCGTGCCGAAGTGCCACTTCGCTATCAGATTGATTGAGGATGTAGCTTTACAGCTTTAAAAAGCTAAAACGCTGTTCGCGATGTCATTACATTAGCTCGATTACAAATTGGCTCTGCCCGAACACGGTAACACTCATGATCTGAATCAACCCGAACCCGAACATAAACTGTACTGCACCCTCGAAATGTAAAGCTGAGTACACATCAAGGTAGTTCGACATGGCATATTGCTCTGAGTATTTTCTCTAGCTCTGTCCTATATTTAATTAGGAAAGCAATGCACTGAGTGCTGTGGGTGCGCCACCAACTGAAAAGTGCGTGTCGCACTCAGTGCAGTTTTTTAATGGTATTTTTGAAATTAAAGGTTATTGCTGGTTGATGGTTTTTCATCAAGGTTGTTTGAGAGAAGTGGGTTGCCTGATATCTATATGACGTCATCTGGGGTGCCTCAACGTAATGCAAATTTCCATAAGGCATCCCAGATATGTCATCAAATTACCCATTACCAGATAACCTATTAACTTTAGGAACTTTGGTTTTTCATAAAAAAGCACAAATATAGGATTTTCACGCTAAATTTAGGATGACGTCACATTTAGTAAATTTCTGCTGCAAATCTAACAAAACTAAAAGTACTTCTTAACGCATTCAAAGTAGGGGAGTTTCAGGTGTTTCTGGTTGGCAACGGCGCGCAATATTGCATGATAAATGAATATTTTCAAATAAATATTGCCTGTCGATTCATTTTGTTATTTTTAGCTGTCAGTGGTCTTGATAATTCATTATGACATTCTGGTGAATTATAAAGCCTAGTACTCATAACTGCGAAATTCGCACTTTTTTGACATTGCTTTGACAATTTGACGTTTAATGCGTGTAGGAAACGTCAAATTGTCGAAGCAAAGTAAAAAAAAAGCGAATTTCGCAGTTATGAGTACTAGGCTTAAGAAAACAAATAGGCATTGACAACATTGTCAGTTCTTGTTCTCTGACGTCATCCTAAATATAACGTAAAAAACCTATATAATTTTTTTTTATGAAATTGTATATTTTAGGTATGACGTATATGGGACGGTGGCGACGGTGCAGTACGATGATGTTGGGCAATTTTTCGCAGGGATAATCAAGCATAATCAATATGCTGGGTTTATGTGATATATGATGGTGATGTGTAAATTGTGTCAAACTCCTCTAACTCCCTCAGCATCAAATTCTAGGCCTGCGAATGACGTCACTATCGGCAGCTTATGGTGATGACGTCACCAGCAGACTTCGATGGAATGCTTGCGATTCAGGCTGAGCTAGTGAGTTAATTTTTTGTCAATTTTAAATGCAGAAATAGTATATTGTGTATTTAGGTGGAAAAGTGACACATTCGCGGCCGACGGTGTAAGTTGACGGGCGAGGCGTAGCCGAGGCCCGCAATCACCGAAGGCCTTATGCTTTTCCACCGAAATACACATGCTATTTTTTCTGCGATCGGTTAAATATCTGCTAAATGATTGTCTTTATGTTCCAATTGTTCAGCAGTACGAACATCACTTTCCCGGCCTGGGCCGGAAAAGTGATTCCCGGGCTGCGTTCAGGAATGGCTACAGCCCAGCCAAAATTGGCATTTTGCGTTCGAGTTCGGCTCCAAACTACGTGGTTCAGCATTACCGGTGGAGGGGGAAAAATAGGTTTTGGCATTAGCATTGCCGTCCTTGAACGCACCCCCGTATTGTTATTCATTGATTCCTTAGCAACTATTGAAACATAATTGAAATACCAGAATATTGGGTTTTGCGACCAGTCAACCGGTCAAAAATGCTGTCATTTCTTGTCAATCGCAGAAAAAGGGGATTTTCGGTCTGTTCTCACAGAAGAAATCAATAGCGTATTCCATTGGTAGAGGTAGAGCAATAAGTGCAACACTGACACTTTGAAAAAACTGTACGCGTGCAGACTCAAGAAACATCATCGTACTGCACATACGTCAAACCTCAAATATGGAATTTCATTAAAAAAATTATATTTGTGCTTATTCTATTTTTTTATGAAAAACCATCAACCACAAATAACCTCAATTTAAAAAAAAAACAGCACTCAGTGAAATACTCAGTACATTGCTTTCCCAATGAAATAAAAAAGTGCAGCGCGGATTTTGCCAATGGATTTCCAATATTGCCATAATCGTGTAATATACCTTAATTAGTTACCGCACACTTGTAGATAAACTATATTATCATAAATGCATATTCTTAACTACGACCGCTGACGAAAACCGCTAGCGACACTTTAATCGGCAACGGTGCAAATGCCATATGAACTTGATTCCAAAAATCGAGGTGGATGAGCAATCCTGTAGAAGTGAGTATTATCCTTGGTGTAGCCTAGGAGCTCTAGCCCAGTTCAAAAATGCGCTTCCCAACGCTCTGTTTTTTAGAGTGTTATAGTATTTTACATTATTAGCCAGTAAAAACTGCTACCTGGCGTATAATGTACAATAATTTATTTGTTACTCATTTGTAAAAGATATAGGGACAAATAAAAAATTAATACATAACAAAATTTTGAAATTTATACGTTTTTCCTTAATTTTTTCTGATACAAGTTGGTAGTTGGTATACCTATGAGAATGAGATGTTGTTATGTCGTTGTTTCTAGTTAAAAATAGCTTTACTGACAGATTTCCATTTTTTGCAATTTTTTTCCAGAAATGAATGTGCTAGATGATATTAATAATGAAGCTACAGTCGTAGCTAATAGTTTACCACCAGAAAAGTCTACCAGAAGGTACCTACAAGCAATTATTCTTGTGATAAAACTGATTTTTTAAAAATAAATAATTCTACTGACTTGTAAAAAGTTTTTACAGTTTAGCTGTCAATTTTACAAGTCAGTAGAGCCGAAACCGAAAAATACCGGTAAGAACCGATTTATTTATATCGGTTCCGGTTCTGCTTGCCATACAACATTTCTATGAAATATGGGTTTCGTTCCGGTTTTTGATTCCCCGGTCCGGGTCCCTGATCATAAGAGCTGCTTTCGGGTGCCACCCTTTGAGCGCTCCCGAGTTACTCCGAAATACTCCGGCTACAGTTTGACCTGTTCGGTTTCAAACGTTCAAGTGCAAAACGCATGGAGTATGACAGGTGTGAAAAGGTTCTAGGAGCTTCGCACTCTGCGCACCCGAAAACGGCTAAAAGAGCAGCTGTTTCTGTGTCGGGGTACAAATGTTTGGAGCAGATGGCTTTTTAGAGTAGCCCAGTTCCGGCAGTTCCCGTTCGACTCTTATACGGAGTCGAGTAATTAGAGCTCACTCCAAAAGTTCCATCTTCGAAAAGGAGATTTCTAGAGTAAAATGAAAAAGGTTCACAGTTCTCACAGAGTACAAGTACAATGGTTAGTCTGTTCATTTGTACTTCCTCCACCTTTTAAAGAAATCAGGAAGATCTGCTAGGACCTAAATTTATGAGCTTATATAAATATGAAACAAGTGGGCGCCGATCAGTTGCTGAAATCTGCTTGGAGCAAGAAAAGCAGTACAAATGAAAACCCCTTGTGAACACGATAAATAGCCACCCACAGGGGCGCGTTCAGATTGAAGAGTCCGGACGACGTCCAGTGAAGAGCGCACCCGATAGAGAGTGCACTCCGAGTGTGCCCGGCGATTCGCCCAATCTGAACGGCCAAGACGCATTCTTTCTTTATAACCTCAATGATTCTAACATTTTTGCCGTTTTCTTCATAATTTTTTAAATAAATACTAACTATGGAAGAAGCCAGAGTATCTTCATATTTAAAGAGTTATTGAATGATGAGGACGCTTCATCTTCGGACGACGAGGATGTGCTAGTGTCAGTGATTGCTATCAATTTAGCATCACAAACTAAACAAAAAAAAAGAAAGAGGCCACCTTTTTTTTAAATAGAGTTGATGAGGATAACGAAGAATTTAGATAAACCCACCATAACTCGCAAAAATAATTATTTACAATATTTGCCTTTATTATTTAAGGTTAGAACACAAACGCGCATGCGGGGCAAATTTTATCTTGCTATTTTATGGGATGCAAAAGTGTGCGCCCGGGCGTCGTCCGGTAAAAATCTACTGACAATCTGAACGGCTGGGTAAATTTTACCCAAAGCAATCTGAACGGTCGGAACGCGCTCGGGCGACACCCGACGTTCAATCTGAACGCAGCCCAGATGTGACAGCCGATAGGTTGACGCGTACGTACAGCTCGGGGGCTCAACGCCCCGAGTAGCTCCGGGCGTCACACTCCCATACTGGAAAGCGGCTCCTGTTTATTGATTGCCGTTTATCTTCTGCCTTTCCAAAATTGGGACTAGTGATGAGCGATACCGTGATTTTTGATTATCAGTGATTTTAAAGCGTGACTTAATCACGACTTCCAATATATTTTAGTACAACTGAAACTGATGCAGACAGATGCTATTTTTTTTCTACTAGCTGTTGAGATATTTGGCAGCTAAAATCTACCAAATATCGCGTCGGCAAATCACAACGATATGGAATTTGCGGTGGAATTTGGAATTTGAAATTACAAAAAGAAAAAATGTTCTGAAAAACAAGAAATTAGTTTGCTACGTTGCTATTTATAGAACTTTGGTAGCAGTCGTGATCCGTGATTTTTAGATATCAGTGATGAAATCACAGTTCGTGATATATCGCTCATCACTATTTGGGACTCTGGCGTCACAATTGTTCCCTAAAATGTACTTGGTGAAAAAATTTAAAATGCAGCGCAAAGTTCATTTTCTCCCTTGATAAGTAAATAACTTCATCATCATCATATCACTTCATCAACATATCACCTCTTGATTGGAAGGGTACCTATAGGTATTAGTACAAAGGTATGTACAGGGTGTCCCAAATTCGAGGGTGACCATTGAGATATCGGAAACTATAAGAGTTTCTGATGTCCCAAAACCTATGACGTATTGCATTTATTCGAAAAAATATTTTTATTACTTTTTAGCAATTTCCTACCAAAATTATCTTCTCTGTCTCTCTCTAACACAATAAGTTCTTATGAAAAGGGCCAATAATATAAATTTTTTGAATAAGTGCAATACCTCATTGGTTTTGGTAAAATCTGAAAAAGAAAATAAGAGAATGTATTTAAAAAACTGAAGTTGATGATGATGGCCTAAAGACAAAACGTCAAATCCGAAATTTGGTAGCAACATCTAAAGGGGAAAAAGTGACAATAATGAAGTGATATTTTTTTAAAAATTGCTCTTCAAATAGACTCAGGAAAAAATAAATTTTGTGAAATTTCCGTTTTTTCCGAATATCCGACCTCGTATCGTATCTCCTATAGTTTCCGATATCTCGATGGTCACCCTCGAATTTGGGACAACCTGTACAGGCTGTTTCCTTATAGTCTGACCCCTACTTACAGCTTTAGCTATACGAGGTGGAAAAAAACTTTGAACATGAAAGTTGTAGGGTATGATGTTTATTATGTTTTGCGAATGTCAAAACGGGCAAATGACAGGTTCCAACTGTCACAATGACAAACACTTGCATTTCTCAAATAGAACACCCTGTATATTTTTGGCTGAAATGATAGCTTTTTTTCTTCTGATTTCAAATATACTATATATGTTGTAATTTGGTTCAGTTGTTTTTGCGCTATTTAATTTTAAAATTGCACTTAGCAAGCCTCATCATTGATATAAGGAACCAGGACAGAATAAATTAAGGGTAATGTAAATGTATTTTTAAACTTGAATACCATAAAAACAGCTGAACCAAATATCAACATATATGATATGTTTGGAATCAGCAGAAAAAAATCTATCATTCTAGCCAAAAATATACAGGGTGATCCATTTGAAAATGCAAGTGCTTGTCATTGTGACAGTTGGCACCTGTCATTCGCCCACTTTGACATTCGCAAAAGATAAAATCTGTTTTTTTTAAAGATAATTCCCCAAGTCAAAAATTTAGTAACTATGTTGGCAACACAAGCCTTTTCAACATAAAAAATTTGAAAGCATTGACAATTTTACATTGTATTGCCAACATAATGTCAGTTTGACTTTTAACTTAAAAAAAAAAACACACTTTAACAGACATAAAACCCTAGCCACAACTTTCATATTTAAAGTTTTTTTCCATCTCGTATAGCTAATAAAGCTGTAGATAGGGGTCAAAATATAAGGAAACACCCTGTACATATAGATTCTGAATAAATGGATATAATTTTTCCATAGAAATCCTAACACCATTATTGGCTCCTCAATTGGTTCAATAAGAATTCCAATTCCAAAGCATCAAAACTTTGAATTACTCTTCTATAAACTTTATTATGTTGAAACAAAAAAAAAAGCCTACGATGGACAAAATCATAAAATATAATCACAGTAGCTTAGTTTATATTCTTAAAATGACATGGCAAAAATCAAAAGAAACAAAAACCGACATCATTTATAACTGATTTTGTATTTAAATACTATGTATAAGTTATCTAAGTGTTTTTAACAAAAATCGGTTTATACGGGAGATTTGTGCACCAAGTTAAACCAGTGACCGCATTCACATCTTTTGGCCTCACCTTTGTGCAGCCACATCCAGTTGATGCTGGTCGCTTCTTCTTCGCAAATGCAACCCACTAATCTGGCATCGAATGCAGACGGAATTTCATTTGGTTGAGTTTTGGTGCCCGGCCCCCTTTTGTATACTTTCATATCAAAGGGATTGTCATTACCTTTTACTTTTTGTAGTATTTCACGTTTTTCTAGACCGGTGGTGTGGTCCACGGGGTCGCCAAATGATGCTGAAATAAGAACATTTCTGTCTAGAGTCAAGAAAAATCTATGTATTGTGATATTGTATTCAAATAATTATTTACAAGTTTGGGAAGTGCGACTTACTCAAGTACCAGTTCAGGATTCAGGGTATTCTGGAGGAAGCGCGAATTTCTGAACAATTTCTTCAGTAATGTAATAACCTAAAGGATGTATATGTTTCATCAAAAATTATATGTTTTAAATTTCCTCCTGTATGTACTCAGGTGTCAATTAATTAAGTAAAGCTATGCACTACTATGCAGTTTTTCCCTTCTATCAAGACTTGTTCTACCTCCTACAGACCTTTTTATTGAAATAACTAATTTGGAACATAAGTATAGTAGGAACCTACATGGGGAATTCCTTAGAAATTGTTGACATTGCACTTAGGTGACTGATAGAATAAGCAGCAAATTGTTTAGATAATAATGACAAAAGATAAAGGTAAATAATATGGGTTGCATAAAAAAAAGCTGCATAGAACAAAATTAGGTTACCTGTAGGAACACCTAAAATTTTAATTTCAATTAAATTAGACACATAATAATTATTGCTGAAAATCGACAATATGAATTAGAACAACAATATTGAAAATAAATTAGCTCAAAGCAAAGATATCCTTAAAAATAAAGGTCCAAAATCACAAGTTCGATCCCACCAATTACGTAATGATATATTTCAGGTAATGATTTTCCATGGAAACTCACCGTTTTTGGAGGCGCAGCGATAGCTGGTGGAGAGAAAATGTTTCCTAGATGAGTTTACCACCAGTCGACCACAAAGCGAAGCCATGGTAATTTATTAATTGTTAATTTTCTATTGTTTTAAACCTTGCCTTGCCAAGTCGATTTCGGAAAAATGGCCAAGGGCGCTACTGCAGCGCCGCTGTTGAAGAACTTCCAATTAAAATTCAATAAAGCGTTTTCGATTCGACGATTAGTGTCTATTCTAATGAATATTTCGATTTGACTGCACAGCACTTTTGCTCTCAGTCAAACTCGAACTGTTTCAGTCCGCACTGTTCGATTTTACATAATTATGTTCGCACTGAGAAAGGTGAATGTTCGATTTGAGAGATGTTTTTTTTTCGTTTCAGGGTGAAAATGCTAGAATATTTGTACAGTCTTTTGAAGAGTGATTCGAAATCGAATTTGGATGAAAATGTGCCAAGTCAGAAAAAACGTTAAACCTGAAATTTGGAGCAACGATGCATGCACTGAGCCACAGCACAGAGCTCGTATTTTGAGAGTGCAGAGCTCCAATTACACAAACATTGAGAGTAATGTGATAGTCAAAATTCGCACTTTTCTGCTCAAAAAGAGGGACAGTGGTGATGAGAATCAGTACAACGGGTGTTCACATAAGGTGGGTTCGGCTTGCTCACTTCGTGCACTCCGAATGACTCCATTGGCACTCTATCCGTTCGGGTATTGCTTTTTGGCGTATTAGGGGTTACTCCATTAGCGTTCGACTATACGGAGTGGAGTAAATGGAGATCACTCCAAAAGTTCCACCTCGGAAAAAGAATTTTTTAGAGTAGGCATGCGCAGAAGTGAATTATGGAAACACTCAAGCTGGTTGTCACGTTGTGGTTGTTGTTAAACAAATTAAAAATCGTTTATAATAGCTTTGTTTTGGTTCGAAATTTAGAACGGTTCGGGGATTGTGCAGAACTGCTTGCGCAAAAAAAAAAGAATAGTTTTCTGTTTTAATACTAGTTCTGAACCGATTCAGAACCAAAAAAAACAAAACACGTCGCAAATCACAAAATTCTAAAACAGTTCCTCCTTCAGAGCAAGAACTGAGAGAACCGTTATAGAACAGTCCCAGAACTGTTCTTAAATAGTTCTAGACAAACCATAACACCTTAGTCAACACAGTTCGATTACGATTCTAAAAAAACGAAAACGCGTTTTATAATAGGCGCATGTGCAGAATGATTCCGAACTAGTTCTGAGTGAAACCAAAACAAAGCTTATGTGTGGATGCGGGAATTGGTAAAATAATCGAGTAAAATAATTGATCTGTTTTTAAAATTTATTCAACATGATGGAAAATTTTCCTTGACAAAGTTAAACAGAGGCAAAAGCTTGATATTATTCATTATTGTGGAGGAATTGAAGTTAATTTATAGTACACGAAAGAGCAAAGACAAAAGTGAAAAAAAAAAATTGGGAACTGAAAATCGCAGGTTGGCCCACCTCTAGAACTGGAACGTTGTAAAGCAGGGCCGGCTCTAGGTATTTTGCCGCCCTGGGCAATGAGTAAATTTGCCGCCCCATCTCATGGCCCGCTTAGGGAAAATGTGAAAGAAAATAATTACACAAACCAGTGAGGCATAGCATCATAGCAATAAAACCACACACTTTATGTAACTTACATAACCACAAAAAAAAACTAACATAAGAAAACAAGAAACCATAACAAACAAAGTATAAAGGTGGGTTTATACAGCACATAACATAGCATAAGAAATAAGATTAAATAAGACATAACATAATATAAGAAATAACAATTTTGTGGCGTTTATACAGAAAATAACATAACATAAGAAATAATTTCTAACCAATCAGCTGGTACTTGTACTTATATAAACTCCAATGAAAACAAGATATTTGATGAAAAAATTTATTAATTAATAATTCAGCAGGAACACAAAAATAAATACCGAATCCAAGAAATTACCAAAAGCCAAAACCAAAATCAAAATAATTTTGTTTTATTTGGAATGTTTTGTTTACTATTCCGCCATATGTCGAAATCAAGGGATGAGCATGCGCAGATTCGTTTTCACATAAAATAAGACATAAAAGTTAAAATTTAACCAACTTTTTTATTTCTTATGTTATGGTATGTTATGTTATTTTCTGTATAAACGCCATAAGGGGTGTCCATAAGGTCAACTTTTTATCTTATGTTATGTTATTTCTTATGTTATGTTATGTGTCTGTATAAACCCACCATAAGAGTCAGCCAATCCAAACTCTTGGCAACAATCAACAGATACATTATGTAGATATACCCTAATAGCACAGAAACGTTTCAAAAAATTATCCGATCGGACGTCAGAACGTTTTAAATACGTCAGTAAAAGCGTTTGTACAACGTTCTATTTTAGTCCTCGGACGTTTCGATGTTAAACGGACTTAAAAAAAAAAAAACGTCCATCGTACCTTTTGTGTCATTAGGGTAAGTATATAGGTACCTTTTCAATAAAATTATTGGGAAATTATTTAAAATATTTACGAGCTTGGAATGCAGCAAAATCTTCAAGTAGATGATTCATTTTTAATTTAGCATTGATTTCATGCCCAATAGCAATCTTGCTAACATGCTAACCCCTTACCTTTTCTTGGCCGAGATGATCTTGAATATGTTTTTAATAATTTTAATTTAGAGAAACTTTTCTTAGCACTTGTAAGAGTTATGGGCAATGTTAATAAAATTCTGAGGATCTGAGGGCCACAACAACATTCGGTGCAATATCCAGTTGGACTGCTAATTTTAACACATCAGCTAATTATGCCACATTGACATTGAAAGAATTGTCATGCATGAGACGTAAATATTATAAATTTTTGCAATATTTCGATAACTCTTGTAAATGAAGTTTTTTGTAGTAAATGGATATCATCTAGGATATCATATAAGAAGTTGAAATGCCCACTGTGCTGGTTTAATTGTCCAAAATGACACCTATCCTATAATATACATACAGGATGTTTGGTACATCGACAGGAAGTTTTCAATGATCACTCATTGAAAACATCCTAACTATCACTAGTTGGGGTCATTTGGAAGCTGCTTGACCATAATTACCCTTATGCAAAGTTTTGTCGTTTTTGAGATATCAACATTTTTAGATATTTTTGGGAAATATTTGAATTGTTCCTGACACATATTGTTTTTTTTTTGGAATAACCACTTACCCTGATTGATACAAAAAATATATAGCCCAAGTTATGTGTCAAAATATCTAAAATGGCGATATCTCAAAAAACGGCGAAACTTTGCATGAGCGTAAATATGGTCAAACAGCTCCCAAATAGCCCCAACTATCACTCATTGAAATCTTCCTATCGATGTATCAAACACCCTGTTTAATTAGTTTGCTGTTCGATTTAGATTTCTTAATTTTTTTTTAAGTCGCTGGTTTAATTTTCTATCAATTTTTGTTGTTGTATGGTATGGTGTGAATTTGCCGCCCCTGGATCGTGCCGCCTTGGGCGGCCGCCCATCTCGCTCCCCCCTTAAGCCGGCCCTGTTGTAAAGTCACGGTTGACTCTTGTCTTCAAACAAGCAAATCAGCTGTTTGTCATTTTTGCATTGACCGTTCGGGGTCGTGCGTGTATTAATTTTTCACTCTAATCACTCCTAGATCACGTGACAAAAATCTGTTCTTACTCCACTCTAACTCCGTGCTGAATAGCCGAACCCAGCTATAGTTTAAGAATAGTCCCAGAGCTGCTTGGAGCAGGTCTAGCAAAATGAAAACATCTATAGTGCACCTGTCTGCAAAAATTCGACTTCCGTCGTACTGACGTCACATTTGTCATAAATAAAATACAGAAGTGACACTTGACATTGGTTAGGTTAGGTCTTCTCTCTTTTTCTTCTTGATTTGTCAAGGTATATGTTGAAAATTTTGTATTTTAATATAATTTTGCTAAAAAAATGGCAATAATTTATAAAATATGAATTAAAAATCGTTCTTTGATGTGTTTATTTCCTCGTCCCGTAAAAAGTTTTCGCCGATGTCCGTCGAAATTGAAGATAAAATGAGATTATCGGTGTTGTGTTGATTCGGGATTGGTGTAAATATGAATTTCGTGCTGTGTGCTTGGTGCATTTTATTCGTTTATTAGTTTCTTGTGCCTTTTCATGGTTGATGTTACATTTTTTAAAAATAAAATAAGCCTAATCCAGGAATTACAATTTTATAAACAAACGCAGAACCTACTTTATCACTAAGCCACTCTGTCTCGATTTATTCATAATTCAGAAAATCTCATTTCATCTACAGAAACTTTGGGAAATCAATTAACTTATTTTAATATTGTGCCTTCACTATTCACTAATAAATTTCTTGTTTTTAGATGTCATCAAAAATCATAAAAGCAGGAGGCGCTGAGCCAGATGCCTTTGAAGTTCAAGTTTCTCAGGCTCTACTTGACCTTGAAACGAACTCCGACCTAAAGGCACAACTCAGAGAGTTACATATAACGAAAGCAAGGGAAATAGAATTAAATAACAAAAAGGTAAAAATTTAATCATAAGTTTACACATAACCGAGCTCATAACTATATCAATTTTGTTGATTTTTTCTTTAATTCTGCCTTACTTGATGTATGTACCATCAAATGAGCTCTTTCACTAATTTTTGAAATATTGAAATAGAAAAATAAAGTTTTCTGCACTCTTACTTTTGAAAAACTTGGCGAGTCCTGATTGAGAAAATAAATAGAAAAGAAAACTCTAAATAAAAACACAAACTATTTTCCTACTATATCCCAAAACCAATTTTCCCAATTTCAAATTACTATGATTTCCTAAATATTCTTCCATAAAATCCTCAATATTTTGCTAGCTTACTTAACTGCCATTAATTCAGACCTGTGTCTCTGTAATACTTCTGAAGTTAATTTTCTCAAGACACCATCACAGAATTTGAACTAGTAGGTCTTGATCTTTGACGCCTTTCAAGTTGACTTGGAGCCAATCAAAAACGTCCAATGCTGATCCAATGTTTCAAGATTCTTTGGATCTTTAGCTATAAAACAAAAAAATATTTTGTTTGCTGCTAATCTTGCTACAGCTTCATAAGCTTCATGTTTTTCTCTCAGTTCTGGATGCAAATACTTAGCTGAAAGTAATTTTGCCAGAACCTTCAAGGAAGCATAATCAGGTTTTGTGTGGGAAGTAATCAAAACAGCCTTGCTACAATAATTCACTGGAATATTTAAAACATGATGTTGGCAATTCACTGAATCGGAAAGAGACCATATTTCACCCACAACATAGAAAGTTTCACATTTTTCTGGACCAACAATTTGAATTTCATTTCCTAGTAGTTTGGTAATGAAATTTTCTGAGAAATTTTCATATCTTTGTGAAATTTGGTTCCGATTTACTGTAGATACTTCAAGTGCTACCCTAAAAATAAAACCACAAGTAACTTTATAATTACTTCAAATTAAATTAAAAAAGCTTTATTGTCCAAAAAAGTATGCAATTCCATTGACATAGCAAAAAAAGTCTAAAATTAACTTCCCATTAGAGATGTACCGGATCGGGTATTTGGCTGATCCAGCCGGAACGGGAATTCCAGCTCCTAACCGGACCGGACCGCCGGAATTCCGGCCGGATCGACAGTTTTCTGCAATTTAACCGGCGAACCTACAGATGCGCAGTCTATCTCTTTCTAGTACATAGGAAATCAAGATGACTTACTCATAATGGAGAATAGCTCGATGGAAAAAAAGATAGCTCGATGGAAAAAAAGAAAGCGGCTGAAGTTTGGTTATGTTTGAGTTTGGCTGCTCCTTCAAGTAGATTGGCAAATCCCCGAGTCTATCTGGATGTCTATTTTCAAAACCGGGGAATAGCGTTCTCATGAGAACGATTGCTCTGTCTTTGTTAGTGTTATGGAAATATGGATATGGGTGACGAAGACAGAACCTTCGTTCTCATGAGAACGTTTCTCCCCTGTCTCTAGAATAGGGACCACAGACATCTGACTCAAACGCTTGTTCACGTGAAACTTAAACGATTTTCAGTCCAGTGTAGTTGCAGTTGTTTTGTGTTCCTGTGTATCCAGCTAAGTTAAAAATGTCAAAAGTATGGAAGTTTTTTGAATTCCATACCTGAATTTAATGTTTATGTTTAAAAAAAATATTGTTATGGTTTACAACTTTAATTTTAATAAGTTCTAAGTATTCTTCTTGCTTTCCGCTTATAAATTTATTATTTAACTCATTTCAAAATTTTCGAAAATTCCGGCCGGATCGCGGTTTTGATCCGGCCGGAACTACAGTTCCGGGCTATAGACCGGATTTAGTGGTACCGCCGGAATTCCGGTACATCCCTATTTCCTATATCTTAAAACATACTGAGAGTATCCTTTCAAACAAGACAAAAAACTAGAGAGAGAAGCAATAAAATAACAGTGAGAATTTCATACATCTGTCAAAACGGGTATTCCAACAATAAATTGACATGTTTTGATTGTTGATTTGAACCAATCAGATTGGAATTATGTGATAATTTGCACTAGTGCAAATTATCAAATAATTGCATAGTAACTGGTGCGAAAACTGGTGTTTTGACATTTTTTGACAAAAAATTTAAATTTTTGATTTATGAAATTCTCTCATTAAATACAACTCGTGCAATGGAAATATATTTATAATTTTCGACAAATTTGCACTCATGCGTTTTTAACTGAAAAAGGCACTCGTGCTCTTTTTCAACTAAAAATGCATTCAGGCAAATTTCCCAAAAATTATCAATAATTTCCATTGCACTAGTTATATTACTATTGAAAATTCTATATACAATCAACAACACCTGAACAGTTTACAATACATAAATAAAAAAACATTATCATGGGCTAGATTTAATAGCATCCAGATACCTCAGCAAATCCAACACAGAACTGATGAGCCAGCGCGGGATGGTAGCAAAATTTTCAAAAACAATCATTACTATAAATAAGGTCAAACACTCCATGAATCAGTTAAAGCCCATTAAAATAAATAATTTATTAATTGAGAAATTGAAAATATCACATTTTAAGAATCCAAGTTTAAAAATTACATTAAAAGTTTGGTCTGAGTAGAATTCCCCAAGACTGTAATAGGGTTTGGTTTCCAGAAATCTCTTTAAAATTTCGCCTTAGAAAAATCACAGAACACTGCCGCAGCCCTTTCTCCATCATTCAATCCCAGAAAAAGATTTTCAAGAAACATAAAAATGGCATCTTGTGTTCCTTTTCCTTGAAACTTAACACTGCTCTGGATGCGAAATGTTGTTTTCTGTCAAATATTCCAAAAGCCTAATCTTTACAATCTTCTCGACCATTTTTGATAGAGTTGTTAGCAGAGAAATCACGCGATAGTTAGAGAAGACTATTCCGTCGCCTCCTTCAAAAACAGGAATAATCAGGGCAAGTTTTGAACAGTCCGGAAACATTCCAGTTGTGAAAGTGATTTATACAGTCAGTAAGTCTATTTAGGGCTACTTCAGGGAAATTCTTAAAGATTTTTATAGATAGACCATCAATGCCCAAGGAATTTTGTTTTTTTATATCCTTAATTATGTTTTTCAGCTTATCCACATTTGTTGGTGTCAAATGAAAACACTCTTAGACTGAAAATGGCGTCAAGAAGGTAACCAGATAACGATTTTTTAAAAGTTTTTCATTAAGTTACCTGCTACGGAACTGTAAAAGTTACTAAGTTCCTGTGGTTCAATTTGTATTTTGTTTGTTGATTTATTTGTTTTTTCAACGAAGTTTGTTAATTATTCTCCAATACTCCCTAACAGCATTTTTTGCATCATTAACGCGCCCTCTGTAATATTGCCTTTTTGCTAGAGATGCACCAAATAGTGGTTTGGGTCACTGGCCGAATACTGGATATTCGCCGAACAACGAATATTCGGCCCATCGTCACGGCCGAATAACGAATATTCAGCCGATCCTCAGCATGGGGTTTTGGCCGAATATTTGGCCGCTTCGGCCATTATGCGGCCGAATATTCGATTAATATGAATTGTTGGTTGCATAATTTCTTAGGCTTTTTCAATGTCATTGGGATTTCTTCTGTTTTAAAGGTTGGGTTGTTGGGTTAGTTTGGGGTTGGCATTGTTGGCAGTTGGCAATACCGATTTTATTTTCATTATTGTGAATTCCTGTGGCGACTTGTGTGCATTTGTGTGTTTTTGAATAATTGCCGAATATCCGCCGAATACCTTATCGCTGCTGGCCAAATAACGAATATTCGGCATTTACTCAAAAGTGGCAGAATATTCGGCAAACCGAGGTGCATCCCTACTTTTTGCTACCCTAATTAGTTTTTTTTTAAATAAATTTTTCAGTAAATATTGAATTAACCATTGAACCATTCTGAATTTATAAACTTCCTAATGGTGTACAGAGATCGAAGAGTTCTTCCAGAGACTTTCAAACCCTGTGTTATCCATACATTTCTAGCTTTGGTCTTCATTTTTCTAAGAGGGAAACTTTGATTGAAAATACTCTGTAGAGACTCCTGAAAGTTTTCAAAAAGATTGCTGCTGTTCCGAATATTTTCCCAATCTATATTATGGGCCAACTGTCTGACCGCATTAAAATTACTTGTGCTAAACACTCTACCTACTTTTGCTACCCTCCCGCGCTCATCGTTGTACACCAAAATTCCTACCGAAAGTGCTTCATGGTCTGAAATGCCAGAAGGAACAACATCACACGAAACTTGAACAGTAACTCTAATGATTCCAGAAAATCTACAGCTTTCCAGAAGGCGGTCTATAGACACAAAGTGAAATAATGTTCAATTTCTTAATTTGTATAACAGAGAATTCAAATTTATTTGCCCTAATAAGAAAGTTATAGCCGTCCAAACTCTTAACATCAGTTAATCAGCGTACAAACCTCATTTTCCTTCTATGAAACAACAATCTCCCAATTTTCAAAATTTTATCCAGCACAACGTTATATTTGAGACTGTGAAGCAATCGTTTCATATGAGATATGTGCTGTAATCCAGACATCAATTTTACTTGATGTGCTGATCCAGATACTAGACTTGCAGCTGTTTGCATAGCGTAAATCTGACCAGAATCAGTAATACCTTTGGTTAGATTAGCCATGTAGAGTCGAGCTTAGTATTTTAATTCTAAAGCAAAAAAAAATTGTTGATTGGATGAATAGTCGAGAAATAAAACAGCAGAAGTGTGTTATTTAAAATTCGGTTTTTACAATACTGGACCAAGTTGAGTCTTCATTCCAGGTAAATTTTCCACCCATCCATGCACTTAATATTTTGAATATTATGTGATTAGCAACTTTTCTGAGCGAAATGCATCTTCTGAATATAGTAGACAATCATTGGTAATACAAAACTGTCAAAAAAAACAAATCATTTTGTCAGTATCAAATTTTGAAACATCAACAACTTTAAATAACCTTTCTTGTTTTATTTCCATCACAAAATTAAAAAAATATTGTATTTTTTTTTTTTTTTACCTATCAATATCCTGTAATTTAAGTCATATTAAACAATTATTGCTGCCACAAATCCCATACTCTTAGCATTTTTCTCCAAACAGTAACTGGACAAAAGTATTCCAGGGGTCGTATTTTCGAAACCATGCGAATTCTTTCGCATGCGATCTAATTCGAATGAAAAAAGTCGTGTACGAACTAAAATGCGTATTTTTGAAGGCCCTTCGAAAATGATATAGTGTACGAGTATCATTTGCGTTGGCATCGTCGCAAATTCGAGTATTTGGTAATGGCCATTTCGATCGATACAAAAACGAAGAAGAATTTTTTGACATCTGACTTATTAGACTGTCCAAGATGCTGTCAAACTAAAATTAATATGGTTGCCAAGAGGCACATAAACCCTTTGCTTATTTGCTATCAAATGGTGTTATGAGTTTTAAAAAGTACTTATTGTGAATTATTTGAGTTCTTATACCTAAAACTGTTGTTTTTATTAATGTTAGAAATAGTGCATTTGAATAGTGTATGCAAATAGCAGTTTGTGTTCCTTCTGCCGGCCATATTTTGCTTATCAGTCACGTGTTTTGGATAGGCTGTTGTTAACTTTTTCTTTTTTGACTTTAATTTCCACAAATTTTCTTTGTAAAACTAGTTTCGGTACCTATAACCGACAAAAATTCTCCCTTTGTTTTTCTTTTTTGTATTTTGTGGCTGTTTATTGAGTTTATCCACTGAGTTTATCACGAGGTTTATCAAGTATTATTGAGTCTGTTTCACTGGTATAGATCTTGCTGAAATAAATTTTGTGCACCTATTCGTTGGGATTTCCTTGAACGTCCTTGTTTTTTATAACGTTAACGAACAATCATGGTTTTTGGATGGGGCTCTAAAAGCTCTATCAACTCCGAGGTGAGTGGCTTCGTCAGGCAATATAATTTTCGGAGCTGAATAGCCGAATATTCTTCCAGCGGATCAAGAAAGGGATGTAACACCCATCCCTATGATCTGTCAGTATTTCCGCTTCTTCGAGGGCATCAATAACATTTCTTTCGATTAAATAATCCAAGCCAGCCATTCCAAAAACTGTCTTCTAATAAAGCAGGACAATTTAATTCACAAATTATTTGGAAACGAATGAAAAGTCAAAAGGAGAACGAACAACGAAGACAATTTTCAATTTGCACAACGTATTTAGGTATATAAACAACAAATATAACGTATATAAACAAAATAATAAGGACTTGAGGACTTCAAAATTCCAAACAATGCGCAGAATCAAGTAAAATCGTATGCGAAATGTGACATTCGACTGGTAGAGACCCACTCGAGTAAACGTACACGAACCAAATCGTGTACGGACCGTTCGAAAGTGATTCGAAAATACGGAACCTCAATTTTCATGCGAATTTCTCCTTATTTCGTATACGAATGGCATTCGAATGGTTTCGAAAATACGACCCCTGGTTCATATGTATGAAGGTGATACAAGCTGTCAGCAATGTATACATTGAAATTCAATCTGGCAGTTTTTCTGCTGACAAGATTGTTGAATTCTTTTTAGTCCAACTTGTCAGTGACCATTTTATTAATATGTAACAAAACAGCAGTAGTAAGTAACATGTGTTGTTCTTGTGATGTGTCGCTGGTATTCAGAACCGATTTGAAATAAATCAAACCGTTTGAATTCCCTTTGTTTATTTAAGTGGCACATTGTTTATGCAAACAGTAACTTTGTTGATTTTTTCTGTGTCAGAGTTTCTGTCGTCCATTTGCAGTGTCCGGAGCAGATTTGAGTTTTGCGTAGCTTTTTGGAGCTTTTGAAGCTCCAAGCACTTTTCAAAAACTACTTTCTTATCTTTATCGTCCAAATTTTTAGTTTTCTTGTTAATCAAATCTATTTCTGCTTTTTCCAACTCAGCCTCATACTCTTTATCAGGCGACATGGTTAAAACCAACTTATGATTATTCTCTTTAAAATAGGTTTTGATTGTCTCTTGCAAATAGTTGGGATTATTTTTCAGTTCCGACCTCAACTTTTTAATAACAGCATTCACTTCCAATGCTGTTAAAACTTCATTAGAATGATTCCACAGAATGGTTACGCCAAATAACAAATTCAAACCGAAATTCTTACTTTCGTGTTTTAACATCAACTCATAACTACGCAACACAGATTCAATATGGTCATTTGTGAAACCTTTTTGATAACCTCTCCAATAGTTTTATTGAAAAGGCCTTTTATTTTGCTAAAGTCTTCAGTTGTGATGCCTTTTTGACTTATAGTGAAAACAGTATCACATGATTAAGTGGAAGGTGTAAATCCAGTAGAAAAATTAGGCTCAATAAGAGTCCTATAAAAAGCAGCATTGGGTCCTTTAATAAGCAATTGAGTAATAAATTGCATCAAAAATGTCACAATCAGAGAGTAGTAGAGAAATTTATTTATTTATTTATTTATTTATTCCATTCAACAACAATATAATACACAGCAAGAAGATGATGATGAAACAATATGCATATAATGGACATGAGCGTCTGTGTGAATGCATATTGGGCTCATCAATAAATTTTACAATTAAATTAACCTATAACATTTAAAAAAAATACATTGACACATAATACATTGACACATAATACCAATAAATACCGAGAAGAAAAAAGAGAAACAATTGAAAAAAACAAATATGTTTTACTGTAATTTAATGACGCGTTTAATGGTATTTGTGTTATCCCTAATCCATATTATTTCATTATCACTCAATTCAATTTGTTTAGGTACATTTAATTCAAATACACTCGTTTCATCATCAGAAATATCTAAACCATTTTGTTTATTATTTGTTGAAGATTTTTCAGTTTCGTTTTTTGCTTGATCAATGGTGTTTTGTTTTTCAAACTTTTCTGCCATCGGATTGAATCTGGAAATTATATGTTCATGTTTTGGTTCTGACCAACGTTTTTGCTTAGGAAAAACTGTATTTATTGGATGTGAATAGGCATAATTTTTAAAATATGTGTCGTTAATATAATCTACTGATGGGTAATAATGGAAAGTTATCATATGACAAGCATCTACAATTACTTGGATTGTGGTGCCCTCTGCGAAACTCTTTTAAGCCTTCCCAGTAGTCCCTTGTATGCTTAAATAAGGTATTTAAATTTTAGTGAAAGAGCCCATTTATCACAAAACAACCCTAGGAGTTTATTGATCTGAACTCTGTTTTAGAACATTATTTATTTAGATATTTACCAAATTTGAAAAATAGATAGAATCACACTGAAACCACCAAACTAAATTATAATTTTTTGGAATGATAAAACTTTTTTTTTTTTTCCAGTCCATCATTATCTACGTCCCAATCCCCAAAATCAAGCAGTTCCAAAAGGTCCAAACCAGATTGGTGAGGGAATTGGAGAAGAAGTTCAGCGGCAAACATGTCGTCTTTGTCGGAGAACGTAAAATCCTTCCCAAGCCAACCCGTAAGACCAGAATGAAGAACAAGCAAAAGCGTCCTCGTTCTAGAACTTTGACCGCAGTCTACGACGCTATTTTGGAAGATCTAGTTTACCCAGCTGAAATCGTGGGTAAAAGAATTCGTGTCAAACTTGACGGGTCTTCCTTAATTAAAGTTCACTTGGACAAAAATCAACAAACGACGATTGAACATAAGGTGGACACCTTTGCATCTGTTTACAAAAAGTTAACAGGAAGGGAAGTTACTTTTGAATTTCCTGAACCTTATTTGTAAAAAATGGTTTTAATATAGGTTCATTCTTAATTAATAATTCAATTTGTTTGTTTTTTTAATACCTTTAATCAATATTATTTTATAACAACAAAATCTGGCTTGATAATTTAATCATCATCGCTACTAGACATACATATAATCCTCCGTCGTTTAGAAGTTCCTGAAGATGATGTTGAACTCTTTTTACGTTTCCTTTCTTCTAATTTTCCTTCCAAAATATCCAGTTCCGATAGTTCATTAATTTGTGTAGCATTTTCTTCATTATCTGTATCAATAACAAAGGAATCCTAGAAAAAAAAAATATTTTGTGGAGAAACCAGAAACTTCTGGTTAGCAATAGCGATCTGGCTTGGATCAATAGGGACTATTGATCCAAGCCAAAATTTAAAAAACAATCTTACCTCAAGATAAGTATTTTCTTCTTCCAAATCAGGAATTTGTGAATATACATTAGCTACATATTGTCTTGGACGTTGAATATTTTGGCGACGAGGACTCCTGAAAGTTAAAATAATTATTATGCTTGTCCTATTTCATACAAATTAATCCTACAATATTGAACGCATATAAACTCCTTGCATTTGAGTATTATTAAAGTTTTCAGTCTCATCATGGACAAAACTTGTATCATAAGTATCAAGCATAGATTCATCCTCGTCTTCAGATATAACAGTTTCGTCATCCGATACTTGTGCTTCTAGATCCAAGAAATCATTTTGTTTCTAAAAAAAATTGTATAAATTATGTAAGCCAAACTAAGTTCAACTCATTTATTATTACCTTTTTTGACTTTGACTTTAAACAGTTGATATTTTTCCTCCTTTGTTCATGTACTTTTACTGTTGGTGACGTTTTTTTCAACCAAGTTATCCTGTTGTTCTTAGGTTTATATTCACCAATGTTTTTTCTAATGGTTTGATTAGGATCCACAAAGTCATCACCACTTGAACTACTGTGTCTGCTGAAACCCTTTTGAGATTTTTCTTGAAGAATTTTCCTACCTTTTTCTTTAATTTTAGTATTGGAGTTGAATTTTTGTTTCTTGTGCGAACTGGTTTGTTGAGGAGTTTTATCATCATCACTGATGAGAATTGATTCATCAGTATTATTTAACTTGAGTCTTTCTTGAGTTGACTTTTTGCCAAATATACTTTTATTTAAATTAAGTTTTAAATTATTTTTCTTCTTTACTGAAGATAATTTAATTTCATCATCATCACTGGGGCATATTATTTCATTATCACTCAATTCAATTTGTTTAGGTACATTTAATTCAAATACACTCGTTTCATCATCAGAAATATCTAAACCATTTTGTTTATTATTTGTTGAAGATTTTTCTGTTTCGTTTTTTGCTTGATCAATATAATTTAACTTTTGTGTAATTGTTACTTTTGTTTGGTCAGATTGCTCTTTGATTGGATTTAGCTGTGTCATACAGGATTTGTCTAATTTGGCTGTAGGTTCTGTGAAATGAGTTTTTAAACCAAATGATGATATATCACAAAAATCACTTAGATCTTCAATAGTATCAGAATCAAGACGTTGAGTTATTTTTTCAGAATGCGCTTCGATATCTGCAGGATTTTCATTGTTTTTTTCAGTAGGTTCTTTGATAAAATATGATATATCGCAGAAATCGTTAAGGTCTTCAGTTATCTTATCAGAATCTGTAGTTATTGTCTTCGAAGGAACTTTAATATTTGAGATATCACTTAGATCTTCAGTAACTTTATCAGGACTTTTGGTTACTTTTTCAGTAGGCACTTTAAAATATGATATGTCGCAAAAATCGCTCAGATCTTCAATAGTCCTATCGGGGTTTTCAGTTATTTTGTCAGAAGGCGCTTCAGTATCTGGAATATCACAAAACTGACTTGGAGTTTCAGGATGTTCGGTTATGTTATCAGTGGCCACTTTAAAAAATGACATATCACAAAAATCGCTCAGAACTTCAATCATCTTATTAGGTTTTTTAGTGATTTTTTCTTTAGTATCTGGAATACCATTAAACTGACTTGGAGTTTCAGGATTTTCAGTTATGTTATCAGTGGGCACTTTAAAAAATGACATATCACAAAAATCACTCAGATCTTCAATCATCTTATCAGGTTTTTCATTGACTTTTCCAGAAGGCGCTTTAGTATCTGGAATATCACAAAACTGACTTGCATTTTTAGTAATTTTACCAGGATTTTCAGTAATGTTGTTAGTGGGCACTTTAAAAAAAGACATATCACAAAAATCGCTTAAATCTTCAGTAATCTTCTCAGTTTTTGAAACATCACTTTGATCATCAGTTATTCTTTGATCATGTGCTAAACCAAAAGCAGAAAGATCACAAAAATCATCTAGATCAGTAACTAAATCGTTTTGTGAACATTTACTCTCATTTGCTTCATAATCTGACTGAATAATGGTTTCTTGTGAACAATCAATAGTCACATCACCTAAATCGGCTATAGATTTTAATTTGAAGAATTCCAATATTTCTTTATCTGACATCTTATATTCATAATCCTCTTGTGTGTAATCACGGAATGTGTCCATTAATTTCATATAGCTTGTAGGTGCTTCAAACGAATATTGCTTTGAATCATTGAAATCATCTTGAAACTCATCTGCAAAATCTTCAATTTGTATATTTTCCTGCAAATAATAGCTGCCATCTAAAGTTGCTATATAATCTTCAATGTCGTTGAGGACAATGTCATTTAAAATAATTTCATTTGGAATAAAATTATTGTTATTATTTGTACGTAATTGATCGTTATCAATTACGAATTCTTGACAGTCAAAGTCCTGGCAAAAACGGCATTTTGATGGGGCATTCATTAGTTCCGACTCTAAGTAGTTCGATAGGATTTTAAACATTTCCGATGATGGATCTGAATTTTTGTTGGTCAAAACTTCACTTGATAATGGGGTGAATGAGCTGATTACGTCCGAACCTAGAAAGTAAACTGAGTTGAATGTATAGTAAAATTAGTTGATTGCTCTGAGCAAGAGGGTACAGATTTAAAAGCAATAGATTGTTAGGTGACAGAAAAAAATCTATTATTGTTATGTCTGGAGAACTAGGAGGCTATTCAACAAGACCTCTTCTCTGATTTCTATAATGATCAATCTAATTAGAGCTTCATAAGAGGAAATTTCGAAAAACAAAATCTAATACTGCTTACCTTCTTCAGTTGCAGGCTGAGTAGATTGACTTCCCTTGAAAAACATATTTCTAATGTCGCCTTGCTTTAAAGGTTTTCCATTGGGACCAGTTAAACTACCTGAAATTTAAAAACAATAAGCTACTTGAAGAGAAAACGAACATAACAAAATAAATATAACATTGTGTGATAAAATATAATAATATGTACCTCAATGTAAAACTAGTACTCAAGACCACAACCCAATCACATTATTCGATATACTGTCAACTACTTGAGTAAATACCACTCTGTACATTAATTTTACTAAAGTGAGTCGACGATTCAGCATTTATTTGGTATGAATACCGCGCCGAAATCCATTACCGGCAGACTAAGGCCCAGTGCAAACTACTTCAAAAGATGGGAAACGCCCTTCTGGACCTGTCTCAAACCTAGCTTCTTCTGGGAGCATTGAACGCAGCAGACTAGGTCCAGTGCAAACTACCTTTATTGGGAAACGCTCTTCTAGACCTGTCTCAAACCCAGCTTTAGTCTTCAGTCACGCCAAGTGTAAAGAGGGTACATAATCATAATACAGAGTGGCCTATAAGTAGTACGTCCCTCCGTAGAAGAGACGTCATGATACTATTTCTATCATACTATTCAATACATTATCTTATACCTATACCAAGTGAGTTTCTCTCTACCTGAACCCCACCTACGCCCCTAGGTCACGCTCCTGTTGTGACGTCCCAGGACGAAACGAATAGGGGTTGTGACAATACGAAGAATTCGAGGAGATGGAAATTGCCTGTTCAGAGCTGTGAGCCTGTACCTACACAGCACACAGGAGAAACACATGCAAATAAGATCTGACACAGTCCACTACGTAAGACAACACTGGAACGAATTTGAAAGAGTACCTCCTCCCAAATCCCACAGAGTCAAACGACTAGATAAGCTACTGCTATAAAATGAGACAGAGTGGAACGTACGGCACCAGCGTTGAAATACTAGCAATGTCAGAAATACTCAAACTCAACTTCGAGATCTACGCTGAAGATGAGATAACGGCGATAGTTACATCACAAGCAAGGCGCCCACGGTCATCAGTAAAACATCCCACCAAGTCAGCATTAAACTACTCATTACAGAAAACCTGGAGTGTGGATAATATGAACTCCTAGAAGACGCAACCAGGAAAGAACAACAGCACAACACCAACGACGGCAGCATCAACAGTACCAACACCAACAACAAGAAACCAAGCAGGACCAAAAGAAACCCGAGAAGAGATAAAACTCCACCCAAAAAAAAAAAAATGGTAAAACCAACTACAGACAATGCTAGAAGAAACCAAGCAAGTGAAAAAGATGTCAGTACCAAAAGCAGCACCCCTGAAAACAAACACCAAAGCAAGCCCAGAAGCCCCAGAACAAGGAAAAAACTCCAAAAGTCACAGAGTACAAATAAAGAGCCCTGATCGAAAAACACAAAAAAAAAACACAACTACTAAAACAAAAGATGGAAACCAAACAAGAGTAAAATAGACCATAGAAGGATACAATACAGTACACAATAGAGAAAACGGGAACGGCAAACTTGGAAGGTACCTATACCTTGTGGAAACAGAAATCGAAACCCCACACATCCCTTACAGCTAACACTTTGGGAACACAGGGGCGATTCATCCATAACAACAAGAAGCTGTCACAAACTGAAAAGTCATGTGCAGAGCGAAGAATCTCTTGAGAAACTATGCTAGATGAGGTAAACAAAAACAACCACTCAGGAAACTCAACGACAGCTCCAAACCAAGAGATCGAATAAGACTAGGCAACAAAGTTATAGAAGAAATAATTTCAAAGCAACCTGAAGCATACCACAGAATCACAAAACTGAACAAACTCATATATGCGACTGCGGAAACAATACAAGACAAGATAACACCTTCAGTGAAAACAACCACATCGAAAAAGAAGCTCTGGTCTGAAGATCCACCCTGGAAAAAGACAATACAATCACAAATAACGGAGATGAGACGGTACCTCTTACACCTCAAAGAATCTCAACAATGAAACCTTAAAGACAAGATGATGCAACGGAAGGAAGATCTGTACAAAAAATATGAAATAAGGAACCAAAAAGAACATACAAAAACGGTTGAACAACTACAAGATACCACCCATAATGCAACAGCCCCATGGATTCAACAGGAACATGACAAGACTGCTAACATCGACAGAATGAAATGGGAGAACATAATAGAAGATGAACTCAGTAATGCAGTTAACTGGAAAGCACCAGGAGCAGATTGCATTACCGGCTTCTGGCTAAAGAAACTGACATCATCTCATGCGAATCTAACGTCTGCATTCAATGACATGATCAACAACAAGCAAGGCTGACAAAAGGAAGAACGTTCCTAATACCCAAGAATGAGCACACTGAATAAGCAAAGAACTTCCGACCGATGTTGCTGACAAAACTTATAGCTGAGCGACTGTACCACCACCTGGCAGAAAACAATGTATTCCCTGCAGAACAGAAAGGATGGGCCAAAAACACGTATGGCTGCAAAGACAATCTGAGGCAAAGACCATCTACTCACAAGCAAATTGCTACAGAAAGATTGTAAAGAAAGGAAGAAAAATATGTCAATATCCTGGATAGATTACAGGAAGGCGTTCGATAAGGTCCCGCATACCTGGATAATCGAAGCCCTCAACATTTACAGAGCACCCTCAATCCTTCTAACCCTGATCAGCAAGACAATGAACGCATGCAACATGACATCGGAAGCAAAGAGCGACAACAATAACACAAACAAGGTAACCATTGAGAACATTAAGATAAGGAGCGAGATATATGAAGGAAACTCCTTATCACCTCTACTATGTTGTGTCGCACTATTTCCCCTGAGTTCCATCCTCGACAACTCTGAGACAGGATACCAATGCAAAAATGAAAGGGAGAAAATCAGCAATCTGCTGTATGTAGATGATCTGAAGCTAATATCAAATTCAGACGAAGAACTTGCAAAACAACTCATAATCGTCGAAGAATTTAGCGATGAAATCAGCATTGAGTTCGGGTTAGACAAATGCGCAAAGGCAACATTCCTGAAGGGACGACTGCAAGCCAAAGAGAATATCAAAATTGACAACTCAAAAACCATCACTAGAACAAACTGACGTGTACAAATACCTGGGGATAGATGACGACGACATCCAACGCAAGAAAATGAAGACCGAACTAAAAAAAGATTGCTACTGTCGAATAAGAGCAATCCTTAAAACCGAGCTTAATGTGAAAAACAAAATGATGGCAATAAACTTCCTAGCTCTCCCTGTCATTCAATACAGTCTAGAGATTATCAAGTGGACCCAGGCAGAGATACGGAAGCTGGATTCCCAAACATGCAAACTCCTCACAATGTACGGCGCTTTCCATCCACAAGCCAACGTTAACCGATTGTACATACCTAGAAAAAAAAGAAGGCAGAGGTATTATTGGTATTGAAACAACCTACAACATTGCTAAGGAGGGAATCAGCAGGTACCTGGAGTTAAAAGAACACGAGAAATATCTGGGAATGTTGTACAGACAACAACAAGGTGCCCCTAAAAAATACAACAGCACAGACGAAGAAGATAGGATAGAGAACTACCATAGCACAACAACCGCGGCAAACCTGAAACAAAAGTAAAAGAAATCACACAGAATTCAAAACAAAAGATGAAGGCAGAACGAATAATGAAATAGGAAGCTACGCCACTGCATGGACAAATAGCAAAAGAGGCCGTCAAAGAAACCATCAACCAGAATAACTCGTGGGCGCGGCTTTCCCATGCAAACCTGAAGACTGAGAGGAAGCGCTGATAATTGCCTGCCAAGAGCAAGCCATCACAACAAATTATTGTATTTTTTTTCACATGATTTTAAAATATTTTAGATTTTTAAGATTTTAGATGATTTTGGAGCATTTTAGGGAATTTAGAAGGGTTTTTGGAGATCTTAAAGGATTTTTAGAGATCCTGAAGGATTTTTTAGAGAATTTAACAGATTTTTGGGGATTCTAATGGATTTGTGAAAATTTGAAAGGTTTTTTTTTTCCAGGAATATATTAATGATTTTATAAGATTTTGCTAGATTTTTTTTTGTTCTAATAAATTTTTGTGAGATTTTGTCAAGGATTTTGTAGAATTTTATGCGATTTCAAGTGATTTTAAGGAATTTTGACTAATTAACCGTTCCGAGGCTTAGTCAACTTCATAAAATATGTACATACACATATTTTAAATCTTTATTGACTGTAGGATTTTGAAAATCTTCACAGGAGTTTAGATTGTTCAGAAGCTTTTAGATTTTTGAGATTTTAGGTGATTTTGGAGCATTTTAGGGGTTTTTGAAAAGTTTTTAGAGATTCTAAAGGATTTTTAGAGATTTTAACAGATTTTTGGACGAGAGACTCGGCGAGCAGGGGTAAATCCACGGGTAAACCACTAGTGGAAATTATTGCACATTTTTTTGGGAATCACAAAGTTATCAATCCGGAATACATGGAAATCACTTGGAAGTACCTAGGAATCGCTAGGAATCTCCTAGGATTCCATGGGAATCCCATAGGAATCCATTGGCAATCGTTGAGGATAATGTGGTAATCACTGGGAACATCATCTCATGACTCATTCTAACCCAGAAATCGCTTGATATCCCGAGTTTCCTAATAACTGAACCCGAGACTACGGAGAGTTTAGAACTTGAAGGGGAAAAAGAACAAGGTGAAGATTAGGTCTGTTCTCACAAACCAGTCGGAGCGTTTTTGATTGGTGCCAATCGCCAAAAATCAGTTTTCTAACTATTTTTAACCAATGAAACTCGCTCTGACTGGTTTGTGATTTCTGTGCGACCAGACCTAAAGTATGACAATATTGTAGACGGGATTGTGGATCATAAAAATGAAAACATGAATCTTGCAACCTCTCTCGAATCCGACTTGCCAAAAGAAGACACAGAATTCCTTCACACATCAGGGTTTAGAAATTAGGATTCGCTACAATGAAGAGATTATTCAGGGCTCAGCTTTAATTTGGTTCTTTTCAGAGAAGCAGGGACGTTTGACGATCGAGTATTAAGAGCTATGGGAATGTCTCTGAGAAAGATACAAAAGTCGGGAATCGAAGGCCAGAAGAACTTGAAAAGAGGAAAAGAAGAATAAATACTAGGCATAGCGAGAAGCAGAGACGAATGCACATCTGAATCAGAATCAGAAATAAGTTTGTCGAGTGAAACCCTAACTGAAGATGTCTCTGATTCAAATGATCATCCTAGTGAAATCAAAGAAATATCCATTATTTCAGATCCATATTCTGCAGTGTAGACACGCAATGGTATCTAGGCCTCAACAACTATTTATACCTACAATAAAATCGGTGTGGGTGTGGACAACCATGAAAATAAAAGTTGCTAACTTCTGAAAGAGTTGCAAATACAGAAGTTGCCAATTTTTCAGTGGAAACGTGTTTTTATAAGAGAAACAACTGTTTGTTTTGGTCATATCAATGCGAAACCTATCGAAGAAATCAAGTAATCAGTTGGGAATGATATAGGAATCCCCAGAAAAAATGGAAATCACCTGGTAATCATACAAAAATATCTGAAAATCATTGGCAATCAGTCGCAATTCTTGGGAGGGGAATACATGAGATTCATTATTCATTGATCAGTGATTGCCAAATATGGAATGTACATTTGTAAGCATAGTGGTTGACCTCTCGTTTTTGCGGATTCCAAAGGATTTTTGGGAATTTTAAAGGAAATATTTTCTAGGAATTCTAATAATTTTAAAAGATTTTGCGGGATTTTTTTAGTTTTACTAAAATTTTGTGCGATTTTATGCGATTTCAAGAGATGTTGTAGAATTTTGTTAAATTTTTAAGGATTTAGATGATTTTTATGCGATTTTCTCGGATTTTGACCAACTTGTACACGGATTTTGACCGCCCCTCGGACTGTGCCAGGCAGCTCCACTGGAACATCTGCAAAAACTTTAAGATATAGGTACACGAGAAGTGGTACCAGCACGCACCGGACCCTGTAGTAGAAACAGAAGATGTAACAATCATATGGGACACACAAATGCACACTGACAAGAAAATAATTGCAAACAGGCCAGACCTAATAGTCAAAGATAAGAAAAAAGCACTGCCTAATAATAGACGTGGCCATCCCTCCTGACAGATGCTTAAATATAAAGACCTGCGGATTGAAGTACAGCGAATGTGGAACCAGAAGGCCAAGGTAAACCCTATCATCATTGGAGCCACAGGACTCATCTCCAATGCCACCACCAACACCATCAAAGAAGTTCCAGCAAAGCACAGTCTCCTGGAAATGCAAAAAGCAGTGGTCCTGAGTACTGCTCATATAGTACGGAAAGTACAGTATCCGCCAAAATAAACAGTACCGAACATATAAATTATATAATTTATCAATTTGAATCATGCGTATATGTACAAAAACTTCATCATAGCGACTTAAAAAAGCTTCATAACGATTCTACAAATCATTGAAAAGATTCATTAGGAGTGGTTGTTGAAATTTTTCTGAGACTTGTTTCAAACTTGAGCCTTTATTCCTTCCAAATCCGTATGACCGGAAATAGTGCTCTACTAAGAAAACTGTTTCTTAAGTTGAGAGATACATAATGACGAAGATTTTAACCTTAACTTAATGTCAACCTCATAACTAATCCCAAGTAAGCGAAATATGATAAATGCAACTTGCGTGCGCAATTACTCAGAGCTCTAGATTTCGGTACTGTTTATTTTGGCGGATACCGTACTATAAAACCCATCCCAGTCACCAGCTACCAAAGCACCACCCTTGCAGCACTTGGTGCTGCTCAATACAAAGAAAACCTCAGAAGAAACTGAGTGGAAGAAAGAAATAATAATAATAAATGGCTTTATTGTAATTCATTAATTCACAAGTTATAGACATAAAACAGTTAGCAAATGTTCATGAATCACAAATGGCGGAGTTGAAGCTCTTCCTATCTCGACCAAAGTATAAATGTACAAATACAGGGTGTCCCATGGTGGATGGCGTATTAGACGTTAATGGAAAACTAAAAAGCGGATCATTTTGAAAATTTGGCAACCGGGATAAACGATCATAATCTACACTTTAAAAATATTTTTGTTTATGCGGTGTTGCCGCTTCTACTCTAAACCAGTGGCAATATCGTCATTTTAAATGGAATACCCTGTATATCATTGCATATTTGCATTCTTCATAAAATTCTGAGCAGATTTCATGTGATATACCCTATACCTAAGTTCAACTGTTTTGGAAATATTGACAGTTTAAAATTGACTTTTTTCAACTTTGACGGGCTGTAAAACCTGAACGGTTAATTTTAGACGAAAACCAATTTTACTTTTCTGTCTTAGATTTTTATAAACTATCATTTGACACCAACTTTGAAATTAATCCATGATTAAAAATTCCAATTAAATTTAATCTTCGGTTAAATTAAAAGTTGGTGTCAAATGATAGTTTATGAAAATCTAAGATAGAAATATAAAATCGATTCTCCTCCAAAATTAGCCGTTCAGGTTTTACAGCCTGTCAAAGTTGCAAAAAGTCAATTTTTCCAAAACTGTTGAACTTAGGTATAGGGTATATCACATGAAATCTGCTCAGAATTTTACGTAGAATCCAAATATGCAATCAGATACAGGGTGTTCCATTTAAAATAGCGATGTTGCCACTGGTTTAGAGTAGAAGCGGCAACACCTCATAAACTAAAATATTTTTAAAGTGTAGATTATGGTCGTTTATCCCGGTTGCCAAATTTTCAAAATGATCCGCTTTTTAGTTTTCCATTAACGTCTAATACGCCATCCACCATGGGACACCCTGTATGTGCTGCAGTATAAGTTTTAGTGGAATAGACCTATCTATTTTACCAGACAAAGACGTAATAATACGAAAACTTCATAAGATAAAAAAAGACACAGAACGCTCATTGCGCAAGACGAGGCAAAACGTACCAAATTATGTTAGACTTACGTATAGCAATCCGTTCTTTTTATTTGCACGAGATAAAAAAGGAAGGAAAAAGACCGCGTGTTGTGCAACTTATTTGTCAATGAAAATTTCAAACAACTTTTGAATGTCACTTGTCAAGCTATGTCAAGTTAAATATCAATCGTACTTTTATTCTTGTCAGACCACGGGCAATGAACAAGGACAAGGAGATGCCCAGCGTGCAAAACGAACACCTCTCACCTGTACTAGTTAGCCAATAGAAAAGCATTGCCTCGTGTTGCGCGCGCATACCAGGTAAAAATAGATAGGTCCAGCCACTTTTAGAAAAAATCTCTGGCAAAATTAGAAATCCAGAAGGCCCAAATGATCACCACTTTAATGAGAAAACGAAAAAAGGACATTTGATTAGGACTGGAAATCAATTCTGCATAAGTACGAGTCATGTAGAAGAAAAGTGAGGTTTCTGAATGATAAGATGCATTGTAGCAAACATTTTTGAAAATTTGAATAAGGCAGACAAAAAATGCTTGAAGAGCGAAGAACAATAATCAGAGAACTTGGAAAGCACCAAACGGTAAAGATAAATTTAATTTTAAATTTAAAAATTAGGAACGAGTAATAAATAAGAAAAAGATGCTCACCTTTTATTTTAGTAGGAATATTGAACCTTTTCGAATCCGCAAAACCTAATAAGTCATTGAGTATATTTGTGTCATCCGAATGGCCAACTAAATACGTTTTAGTAGCAGTCCTCATTTTTTCAATGTGCTTTTCGAAAAAAGTGGAATTTTCATGTTTCACCATTGGATTATCTACAATTAAAAAAAATATCACTTTTTTCAACGTAGGTACATAAAATAGCTGTCACCTACCTGATAACGATATCATTTTTGGTTCAGGAATTTTGTCTTGAAAATTCATCACTTCATTACTTTGGCTAAATACTATTCGTGAACCTGAACTACGCAGCATATTCTATAAGGAGAACACAAATTGAAATGAGGACAATTTATGAATCCATACAAAGAGCTTTTAAAAGTTATAAGTACACTAGAATTTTCTTTTTGTACTGAGCAAATAATAATAAGAAAAAAGATTTTATGTTCATGTTCATGAGTTCATCTTACAATCAAAAAGTTCCTACTTCATTATACTTGAACTCCTGACAACACATTTACAACTAGGAAAATATTCTACTTAGTATAGGACAAAGTCACCGTAACAATCATAGGTACCTTAATAGAATTTTTCTTTGGCTTTTCCTTAACGACTATAAACATTTTCTCACATTTAGGTTTAATCGTTAATGGAACCAATCGAGGACTAAAGGGATAAAGATCATTTTTAATCTGAGCAGATCCAAGTACATGCATAGAAATGTTATTTTTATGTATCAGACAGTCTTTCAGTGTTTGCTGTTCTTTGCCTTCTGTGACTAAAATGTATACGCTTCCTTCGCGTTTTCTTCCAGTTCTTCCCATTCTTTGTACCATCCTGATAGGCGATTTTGTTGAAATATCAAAGCAGACAATCAGATCTACTTCTCCTACATCTAAACCTTCTTCGCCTATACAAGTTGATAAGAGAGTATTGCATTTACCTTCTCTGAAAGCTTTAACAACCTAAAAATATACAAAATTTGAACAAATTGTTACGAATTCCTATTATTACTTACCCCCAACTGCGTTTTTTGCGTTATCCCTGATCCTTGGCCCAAAAATATTTTTGGTTTGACAAGAGGACGGGCTTGTAGCAAAAGTATATGAGCCTCCATAGCAGATTCTCTATATTCAAAGAAAACTATGGCACGGGTATTTTGTTTGTCTTCTTTTGAAAAATGAGCAGTAAGGACTTCGCGTAATTTATAGTGTTTTGGATGGCCGAATTTTATATTTTTTGGAATCTGAAATTTGAATTTTTAAAACATCAATCAATATTGGATTTGTACAAGGTGCAAAGACTCACGTCTGGATAAGTTCCATCAGGCAAAACTTCAATACTAGGAATCGGACCTAAAAAATCTCTCACATTCTCTAATATACGCCTGAGCATTACGTTTCCTCTAAGTAGCGGCTTTTCAATATGTTCTAAAACATGAAAAAAAAAGTAAAAAGTATTCATAAGTGTAGAGGGTTTTGCTAACTTACCATCAAAAAAGGCAAGAAAATTTCTAAGACCGTGTCTAATAAGCAGCTCATAGGCGTGATATAAAGTAACGCAGATATTTAGACACCTCATAATTTCGCCATAATTTGAAGAACTGAAAATACAACTTAAATCTTAGAAAACTTTTGATTTTATAAATGATTACCTTGCAGTTCTTTTAGCCTGGAAGTCTTTCATCAACATAAAAACTCTGCCTTTAGTTAATGATTCGCAATTACCTTGAATCACTTTGTTTTGTTTCAATGTTCTTGCATAGTGTTCTAAAATCTATAAGGCAATAATTGATAATAATTACACTACAATTGTTATTATTATTACCCTTAGATATTCTTCTTTAATTTCTATTAACTTATCACTAAGTGGTACAACAATAGTCTCTAGAGATCGCTCAAATACATATGGTTTAACATCTACACTTTCCTCAGTCCTAAACTCTAAATGAGATATTAGTAAATTGTGTATAACCTGAAATATTTTTTTCTTAATAAAATATCTTGTGAATTATTTATATGTATAATAATACCTCGGATACATCATTGACTCTAGAGCCAGGCGTAGCACTTAGAGCAAGTACACGAAAATTTTTATGATTATTCGAAAGCAATTTGCGGATTACTTGACAATAAGCGTGATTTCCACGTGCTTTATGGGCCTCATCGAATACCAAACATTTGATTTTGGGGCCCAGTTGAGCAACTTTCTCCAAATCGTTTTGCAGAACCTGCGGGGTAACGAAAAATATCCTTTTGTCCATCCAAATGTTGGATCTGGAAGATGAGATTTGTGCTCCTGAAAACATAAATTTTATAAGATATTTCACCTTTAGGCCAGATTAAACTTATTAGGTTAATGTTTTTCTTGTTGGGCATGTTTAATTAAGTAACATTTGAAGTTGATTTTGAAGTAAGCATGGATAATTAATAATTTTAAATGGTTTTTTTTTTTCCCAAAACAGACTCAAGCAGAACCAATATGATATTAAGGCAAAACATGATTGATTGATTGCAAAGTACTTTATTATCCGATATGGAGTTTGGGTAGTCCGAAATGATCATTTATACAAAATCTCAAAAATTGTAATTTCATCAATGCTGTGATTTAACTACCAACCTTATGATTAAGATTTTTGAAAACTTTAAACAAACATAACTTTATTTCTATTATAGAGAGTAAGTTGAAATTTTCAGTGATTCTTATCATCGTGGAGGACTACAATCCTTGGAAATTTCAGCCATTTGGATTTATAGTTCCAGAAATAAAATGGCGTTAAGCAATGTGGGGTGAATTATAAAATTTTTCAACTTCCTGATGTGAAAGTATATTTCTGTAAAGTAGAATATAGGCTTGAATGTAAAGTAGGGAAGGTGTCTATCTCGGTGTCTATTCATTGTGAACATAACTTATTCCATAAGTTCTTTACTTGCCTGTTAACTCTGTGGTGACTTCATGGGGTATAGCCATAATATTATAACATGCTTCTACTTGTTGTTTGACTAGAGGTTTTGTAGGTGCCATGAAAATAATTTTTCCTTGAGGATACCAACGGAAAAAGTTGTACATTACCACTGCTGCTATGAAAGTTTTGCCCAGCCCTGTGGGTAAGCTCACCTAAAATAGGATTTATTGTTTTGTTTGGTGGGTGAATGGGTTCGAACAGAACATACCAATGTATTTTCCAGTAAGGCCTTTTCGATTATGTTGTATTGATATTCTCGCGTAGGGTAATTTGTAGGGTAAATCCATGACTGGCCAGTTCCCAGGTCGAATCCTTCGGTTTCTGCGTTTTTACTTAACAAGGCTGATCTGGAAGTATGAATACATTATAGTCACATATTTCTAGCAATTAGGATTTGAGGAAGATATTTGAAAATATTAAAAATACTGACTGTGTTTGAATATCCATTCTTATTTGATTTATTGTACATACATCAAATACAAAGAAAATAAATAAAGTAAAAAATTAGTTGCAAAACGCGAAAATACAAAAAAACATTATAAGTAGAAAAAACACAGATAACAAGTATTTGAATCAAAGGTATTCACTAATTAAATACACTAAAAATTAAGAACTTTTTCGCAAATTAAACTTTTTCTGGGATAAATTTGTTTTGTTTACTATTTGTTTGTATTTGAAGGTTATGTTACGTGGTCTAACTCTAAAGCCGCGTCCACACCCAAGTCCTACGCCAAAGCACCAGTGATGACGTAGCAGCGTGTCATTACTCGCCTTGACGTAGGGTGCTTGCACCACAGGTTATGACTCCGCGGGCTTTTGCTTTATGCATACTACATTCTAAAACAACTCTCTTTTTGGATCTCGTTTGCATCTTTATCTATTATGCGTTAGTCTACGACCGCTGGCGCAAACAGCTGACAACTTAATACATGACGTCGACAATGGTACATCATATGACCGCGATTACCAAAGACGTGGCCGATAAGCTATCCTGTTGCAGTGTGAATTAGCCTTGGTTTGGATCAAGGTTGTTTAAGGGCCGAATTTATAGTCGTTCCTGTCTCCCTTGGAGGTCCTGAGTTTAGAATAAACACTTGCTACTTTTTATAATCCCGCAAAAAAAAAACATGTTTTTTGTTTATTGCTTGCCAACCAGGCGTCATTTGGACAGGTCGTTGGATATTGCCTAATTCTAAACATCCATGGCTACTTTAAAGGGGGTGTGACCATTGGTGTGACTCAAAAATGAAAGTTTTGTGCCAAAAAATATAAGAATAAGTATTTAAACCCCATCTTGCTATGATGAACCGTTATCGAGTGAGGGCGGTTTTTAAAGTGACGAATTCTTTGGCTGTGACGTCACACCGGCATTGGAGGCATAGTTAAAACTAAAACACGTGTAAAATGTTCCGAAATCAAAGTCAACGATCTCACTAAGAGCTGTTTTACACGGCAAAGTTTCTCCACGAAATTATTGCCAAAATATTTCGTAAGTTTACTATTCTTGGTTTCGGTTTTTCCTGTTTGACACGGCAGATAAAATTTAGCAAAAGTTTCGTGAAAATATTAGTCATACGCAGGCGCAGTTACGTTTTGCCATCAATAATATCAAATCATAACCTCATACTTTGGTAAACCAAACAAATAAAACTTTCGTTTTCTAATTGTTGTTGAATCTTTTTAGTTGTATTCCTTTCACACCTAGGAGGAGCTCCGGAACAGCTCCGGGGCTTCACGCGCTTAGGGTGGGTATTATAAAACTACTTTGAGAGTTAACTTAAAGTTAACTTCAAGTTAACTGTCAAACCAGTTTTATAATACCCACCCTTATTCCATTCGAAAAGTGTTTGTTTCACCACGCATCTGTTCCCTGCAAATCGAGGGCGACTAAATACCGGAGCGAGTAGCTCAAGTGTTTCAAGCTCTTGAAAGGAATACAACTATGAATCCTCTGCAGTATCATAAAGTTGAATTTCTGTGTTCCTTCCATAAATAAATATTTGTTTACCTTTGGCTCCGCCCAGCTGGTCCTCTCCCTCCCTCCTTATGTTTTTGTGCGCAAAACTTTTTACACCAGTTGAACCACCGATAAGCAGTCTATCTTTATCTGTTACATAGGAAATCCAATGACGGATTCATAAGACGAAGGAAAAGAATGCGCCTTTTATTTTGTCGTTTGACCATCTGTAATTCAATTCTATTGGTCGACCTAGATATTATTCCAAAAATTTTAACTTGCTACTTGCTCATCGTATGATGATGAAATGTGTGTCGAAATTGTATGATTATTTAGGATCAATGAAATGGGAAAAAATGTAGAGGACACTCAATTAAAGGAAAAGCCGACTCGTGCCGGCAATAAATTATACGATTTTTTGAAATTTCTGTCATTTTGGGACCTAATTTAAGTAGGTACCTAACCTTGTATTTAATCTTTTCCGGGTTTTGATTCATGAGTTCAACTAACTTGATGACACACGCTTGATGATTGGCTATTAAAAATTGAACGTATTTTTAATAGGGCTGTTTGCACAGCAATCACAAACCAGTCAGAGCGAACTTCATTGGTTGAAAACAATCAGAAACAGTCAGAAAACTAGTTTCAACCAATGAAATTCGCTCTGACTGGTTTGTGATTTCTCTGCGAACAGACCTAATATTTTAATTAATTTGGGGTCAGCGTTAATTTGTCTCATCATTTTCCAGTTTTATTGATACTGATTTGAAATATTGGATATTCAATTTTTGATTAATGATTGCATTTAATTTCAACTATTAAAGATATTGTAAATTACGGGTCTATTTTTCCCGGGTCATTACACCTGTATAAGAAATGGTTAAAGGTACCTATTCAATATTATTATTGTCTTTTATCTATTATTATAATCAAAAATCAAAGGTTTTAATTGTGCTTCAGTACTCAAGCGAATACACCCTATATAGTTATAAAATTCATTATCAGTTAAGAAATTAAAGAAAGCACTCTAATGCTAATCCAATTTTCTAAACAGGATTTCCCCGGAACAATTATTTTAATTCCATTAAAAGCGGAATAGAATGGAAATACTTTTTTGCGTCGCAATTTAGAGCTTCGCTCATCCATCCCCCAAGGGGATATTTTGACATGCCCCTTTATAATAAATTATAAAGTAGGTAGGCATAAAACTGCGGAAAATAGGCCGAACGACGTGCTAGCCAAAATATTATTATATTAATTTTCAGATGATGCTAAGAGTGAGTTTACTCCATATTTTTGTGGTGCTAGTTTATAATATAAAGGAGGTAAGTTATTAAAAAAGTTCATAAGCTTTATGTGCAATGAGGCCATGGTTTCAATTGGCGAAAAATAACAATTTCAATAGGTAATATATCTAACCATTTCAACTTGGATAATATAACAAAAACACATATCAATATTTATAATATCTAATTAGCTATTTATACAATAAGTTACGAAATGAGCGTCTTTTAGGCACGCGACGTGAAAATTGTCCAACGAGGCAAAGCCGAGTTGGACAACACGTCGAGTGACTAAAAGACATCGTTTCGTAACGTATTGTATACAAGATTTTTTCTACTGGCATTTTATAATAAAAAAAACACAATTTTATTTCATGTGAATAAGTCGATTACACCCAAAATCTTTGTCACCTGCTTTTACTTGACACCTGACACTTTTCATGCGATTTTCTTTTCAAAATTCGGCATCAATATTTAAAATCCTAGAAAGTAGGTAATAAAACAAAGTTCTGTTTTGAGTAACCCAACCGTTCAATTCAGTTATTCCATTTTCAATATTCATAATAAATACAAAACAAAATTCAAATATGTGTTTAGTGTTGTTTTTTATTTCTGAATAATGATTGACACTTTTAGGCACTAGTGCTTAAAAATTACTTTTACGCACTCATAAGTCACTTTTACGCATTCAAAAGTCACTTTTACGCACTGAGTGCCTAAAAGTAACTTTCACGCACTCAGTGCCTAAAAGAATGTCGTTTCAAAACTGAAATGACAATCGAAAAGTTGCTATTATGAAACGTCAGTAGAAAAAATTATTTACCTACTGTTACGTAGGTATACCTATAGGTAGTATGTTGATTTTTTCACGACTGCTCTAGAAAGTTGTTAAAAACGCACTATAGTAGGTACCTACTCACACTTATCTGGAAAATCAATTATTTCGAACAGCGTGCGAAACGTAGGTACTTTACACACGCTAAAATAGAAATTACACTTGTACTGAATTTTTGTTTCGCCAATTATAATTCTTTTTCCACTTCTAGTTTATGGCAATCTTACTTCAGTCCTAAAATACCTATAGGTAGGTACCTACCTACATCTAGAAAATGTAAGCATTATACCTATATCTACAGTATATCTATACATTTTTCATTAATAATTAAAAAAAAACATTACATCTGTAGAATGATTGAATAATTATTCCTTAATTGTTTGCTAAATATGCTGAAACATATAAAAGTTAAATATTAGTGTGAATGTAGTGTGTAATTTCGGAATCGTAGAAAAAGTATATATTAAAGTTATATAGTTATACCTAGTTGTGTAACGCATGCAAAAAGCACTTTCCACAGTTGTGTGGCCGTATTGCTCCAAACTTCCCAGCTCGTGAAATGTGATACTATTTTTAAATACCTATTGTAAGTACCCAGCGCGCAAAAATGTAATTGTTCTCAAGTTAACTTAGAAAATCCTGCATCGAACAGATTTATAGAAAAATCAAAAATCCATCCATATTCCTGACTGTGAAATTACATATTATTTAAAAAGTTTACCATTGCAATTGATGAGGTCCTTTTTTCATACATTTCGGCTTCAAATCCCACAATATAAATCACCGTATGTAGTTTCTGGGGTCCCAAATGATCGTCTAGAGTCGAAATCTCCACACACAAAAAATTGAAATTTGATTATTTTGGAAGGAAAGACCCTTCTTTGCATGGACATGAATTTTTGAAAACTTTGTACAATCATAGGTACCTAACTTTTTTTTATCATACATCGAAAGCTAAAATTTTCGGCGATTCTTATCCTGGAAGGGGACTACAAACTCTGCAAAGTTTCTTGGGGTGAATCTCAAAAGCAATTTTCCAGCAGTGTATTCCGGCTTCAAGCTTCAAATCCCACATTAATCACGGTATAGAGTTTCTGGGGTTCCAAATGATCGCGTAATCGAATCAGAACACTTACATTTTAATTTTTGTTGTGTTGAACGACATCAAAAATTGAAAATTCGATGCGATTTTATTTGATCTACAAAAATCGTTCAAGTAAAATTTCCCCGTGGTGGAAACGCGCCTTTATGATGGATTATAGACAGTTTGACATGGAACTTTTTGAAGTCACCTCAAGGTCCTAGATGGCGCCACCTGCCATTTTTGACATAAAACAGCTGTTTGGTTTTTAACCACTGTCAAAGAATCAAACAAAACAAATCATCCTGCAATCAAGCAACGCGATTCCGTAAATTAACAAGAAACTAGGAATAAAATATCTATAGAATCTCAGAATTATTCGGTGAAAATACATTTAAATTCGGGAAAATATCAATATTAAGATGTGCGACGCAAGTAGACAATGGTTCTATATATTGCCCGATTAATTACAATGTTTATTTTAACGTATACTGAGAATTCGGCCCTGGGATTTATTGATTTAAAAATGATTATGGGTACAATAGTGTCTATAATCTAGTTTTTGTAACAGTCTACTACTATTGTCTATATCAGCATGCAAAAATTTCTTCTCTAAAAAGGTATGAATATATAGAATTTAGCTCATTACACTCCTCATGCTTCTTCAGTGTCCGCATTTATTTATTTTCATGATACTTCATTGTTCATTTCAGAAATAGAAGCATTACCACACAAAAATGACCAAAAAATTTGAATTTGACTGGCGCATCACGGTACCAGAACCACTTCTAACCGGCATTGTTGCTGATAGATGGACAGAAGAAAAAGACAGCTACGAATTGGAAAGGGATGCTACATTTAAGGTCGACGAATATGGGTTCTTTATTTATTGGAAAAGCGAGGGAAAGGTAAAACCGAGAAACAATAATTTGGCAATATTTATATATAGTGGAGTTCGGATATAGCAAACCGGTTTGAAGTGAAGGCTCTTCAACTACCCCTAAAAATTATTATTATTATTATCTAGTTTACAGCAAGCGAGTAGTGAAAACTAAAATAAACTTATGCCTAACAAATTGCTAATAAATCTTAATTTAAGAAAATTAACAAAAAGTTTCAGATTACATAAAAATAATAGCCTCAAATTACTTTTTAAATTTTAACAGTGGTATAACAAAAATCTCAATGTGATGATCATTAATTAATCTAGAATAGCGATCTAAAGGTGAATTTTGACCATAATTTGTGCAGTGAAATGGAATGCAAAATTGTTGCTAATAGAGATTTGAACATTAATACATTCAACTAAATCAGGGCTATCAATTTAACTATCCACAAGATTATGCATAAAAGTTAAACCTGCCTTATACGATGTACCTCTAGAATGTCAAGAGTAGTATATTTTCAATTTGTTCATAATTATGGTCCTGAATAGTCATTCCTATTTTAAATGCACAGAACCTTCAGAATTTATGTTGAATTCTTTCAATGGTGTAGACATGAACTGCACGATAAGATGACCATTTCACAGAAGCATATTCGAGTTGTGATCTTACTTTAATTTATTCTCACAACACCAGTCTTCTATCCTGTGAAGGTCCTCTTGCAAAAGCTCTTGATCTTCGAGGCTGTTTATGAGTTTGAAAGCTTTGAAGTCATTAGCGAATAACAAGCCATCACTGTTCCGAAGACAATCAAATATGCAGTTCACAAGAAGACCAGAAAATAAAGGAGAACAGTGCCTTCCTTGAGGAACCTTCGAATAAACTTTTATTGAATCTGATTGAAATGAGCTTATTTTTACCGTTTGCTGGTGTCCGGACAGAAAACTCTTTGTTCAGCTGACCGAGGATGTACAAAAACGAATGAAATGAAGTCTATTTAGAAAAGGTGCATGGTGTTTTTGTTTGAATTCTTCCAAGCCCTTAATTATGTTGTTTTGATATGTTAATAGATTTAGTCATTGTTGACCGACCCGAGCAGAGCTCATGTTGATTCTTGTGAATAATGCTACAAGATATCCACCCCAGCTGGATACTGATCAAGCTATCAAAATATCAAAAAGCCAAAAAGCTTCGGAATCGACGACTATATGCACACGTTCCTGTAGTTCGAAACATTATTTCTCTCCCCACTTTTAAAAATAGGAACAATAAAACTAACTTTCCATTTCTTGTTCCATTTGATTGGGAAAGTTGATTCGGACAAGGATGGATTGCCACAAGTTTGAAATTCCATCCAGTCCTAAAGTATCTTTATTCAGTAATGGGCTCTTTCACTAATTTTTGAAATTGGCATATTTGGATAAAGCAACTAAAAACAGAATTTTCTGTATTTTTACTTTTGAAAAATTCAAAGTCCTTCTTGAGAAAACAGAAAACAAAGAAATACCTCCAAATAAAAACCCAGAATTTATTTCTATGACGTCGCAGCTCGCAATTTGACCGTGTTGCCACTAATTGTCAACATTGAAAATTTGTAATAGATTTAATTCTGAAATGTTGGCAAAATCTCATGAAAAGTAGTTAAATTAATTAGTTATAGATTCAAGATTTTATAACATTTTTTTTTAAAATTATGCTTAAATACAATTTAATGCAATTTTTTATGTTTAGTTTTATTTATTTATTTTACGCTGCACTACATTTAGTCACAACCGACAACAGCGCATTCGAACCTTTACGTATCTTTACAGAGCGCAAACACAGCCGAGCCCTTCCTCCTTGCAACGACATAAGCGAAATGAAGAATATTTATGTGACGTCGGCAAATCGGCGCGTTTTAAAATAGTTTGAATTTAGGCACTTTTGATTGCCTATGAAAAACTTATTGAACCTTGTACAACATTTTTTTTTTGGTATATATGCCTAAAATAGTCCCTCCTTTGAGATTTTATACTTAAATTACGTATTTAAATTTTAGTGAAAGAGCCCATTTCGATATTTTATTGAATATCTTTGTCAGAGAAATGGGTTCAAAGTCAAACAGCCTGAAATTATTCCTAGATGCCTCAGAGAGAGACAAGTTTTCAAGGCTCCCAGGGACATAAATTATCTCAAAATCTTTTTAAAAAATATAACATCTTGCCCACCAGTGGCACTCCCATTTTTATAAAACATTGTTTGAGGAAGGGCATTATTAGACGTAGGATCTCGAATTTCCTTCAAAAATAACTGGGATAAGCCTTGAACTTTTAGTTGACTTCAACCATGTAACTTGACCAACACACCTCTCTAACTCTTTTGCATTCTGAACCTAAACCAGCAAAATATATATGTAGTCCAAAGGTGATTTTAGTTTATCATCACAATTATTTATCACAGTGGTATCACATGTAATGCACAAGATGAGATGGTTTGACCATTGTTGCATTTTGACCTTATTTAGTCCTCGATTCAGTCTATTCTTAAACTGATTCAATAAGGTTGCATTTACAATGTCCTCCTCCAACCTATTCCAGGTATACAAAGAATTCTGTTGGTCAGAAAATTTCTTCGCAGCAGCTTGTTACATCGTTTTTTATGAAGTTTTTTGTTGTGACTTCTGAGGTCTTGTAGTTGACCAGGGTAAAACATATTAGGGTTACCTACATTTTACATTTACACTTGTCTTGTAGTCGCCACTTGTGATTCTGAATGTTTCAATAGGGTCACCTCTCAGCCTTCTCTCTTGTGTAATTGAATTTAGTCTATTTAGCCTGGTTTGACGGATTTTGGTGATTATCCTTTGCACTATTTCAAGGATTTTTATGTTCTTGATTTATTTCTTCATTTGACAGGATTACTTCATTGAAAGCTTGATTGAAAGTAAAAATCATAGTACAAGTTTCACAAATTTTTCTTGGGAATTTTATTCTCATATTTCCTGATTTCATGTTTAGGTTGGTAACACTAGATGCCAAATATAGAATTAAATGTTCTTTTTTATTTTTATTTTTACCAATTAAAATCACAAATGACAGTTCGATGACCATCAGTCAGCCAGTGTCACCAACTTCCGATAAGTAGAAAAGGAGTGTCACAAAGAGCTTCTTTTCGAAACTACTTTTAGTGTCGAAAAGACTTCGATATGGAACCAAAATAGAAAAAGTATATTATTTTAACAAAAACTCAATGTGATCAGCTATAATTATTAATACCTATAAAACAAATAAATTTTATATTTCTAGAGTTAAAGAAACTCAAAAATGTAACAATTTCAACTCCTACACAAACACTTCATCACATAACTCAATAAACCTACTTTTAGTTATCTCAGTAATTTCAAAATTATTCTGATTTTTCCTCGGATTTATCACTGAAAGACTTATTCTTAAAGGGGAGCTCAAACCAAATTCTGTTGTGTGAAAATCTACATAAAAAAGATATTTGTGTCTCACTTGTCTTACATAGGTACATGAATTGAGGGCAATCTATGTGATAATTCAAAAGATCATAAACAAAGCGCAATTCAATCTTTAATCTAGGAAACTCCAGGAAGTCAAGTTCAAGGTTCTTTCTTACCTTTGCCTTATGTGAAAGTGATCGATCACACAAACTGGTAAATCACTGTACACTTTGATGGGAATACTTTGGAAATACCTAGGAATACTTGGTAATTCTCTGGGAATACTTAGAAATCCTTGGAAATACTATGGAAGTATATGGGAATACTCTGAAAGTACATGGGAATAATTTGGAAATACATGGAAGTACTTGTATATTTCTATAACTTCCAACCCCAATTTTATCGTATTTTTGGGCATTTTCATTAAAATCTCAAGAATTGCGTGCATGTTCATTTGGGTTTGTTCTGGTTCAGTGTTCCACTACTTTGTTCTGGTTGAGTGTTCCAATTTTTTTTGGTCAACTGTTCCAGTTAGCTTAATTTTGAGGCAACTGAAACAGTGGCCCCTATTTTCTCATGCATTCACATAGTAATAATTCTGAGGCGACTGAAAGATATTGTAACGTACCTATGTGTAAAGATCCTACCCAATTTAATTTTTTTTTGCTCAAGAATTATGGGAAATACTGGAGATGCAACAAAACTATTACTTAGTAGTGGTGAGGAAATAACGTTTAATTATAATGGTAAAATGAACAAAAAATAAAATCAGAAACCTATTTTCTTTGTAAGTAATCCATATATCTCCATTTCTGCATGGTGTTCAGCACAGCTGACAGTTCTTCTTTTACTTCGTTCATATATTTTTCCACCACCCTATCTTGCTACCGACAATATAGGTACCTTTCCCTCTTGTTCCAAATACAAAGAGTCTTATTGTGGATCTTGGGATGTCATAGGAAACGGCAGCACCGTATATTGTTCTCTTAGCGTTTTGGACATCTTCAATTGGTTTTTTTCAGGGCCAACTTGGTGTACCCACCGTCCGCAATTTTGAAGGTTCTGCAGATATAATTCCTGACCGCATATTTGCTCTAGAACAAACAAGAATTTGTACAATACAATGTTAATTTCAGGTGGAACATGTTCCAGTTGGACACATCATATACGTTCCAGTTGCCTCTGGACGTATTTTACCGGGGCAACTGGAGCCCAAGCTGTGTTTTGTTGTTATGAGGATACACTTATTACACTTTGTAAAAGTAACGAATTCAAATTTTTTTCTCAGAAACTAATCCGGCACGGCGTTCTTTCTACTACATGCAGGGTATAAATGAGACACGCTTGTAACGAATTTTTATGCGCAGGAAATTCGAATTTCAATAATAAGCCAAAACTGGCCTATGGCGCAGTTACCTCACTGTTTAAGTTAAAACTTGACCTTACTTGGAAATACCGAGGAATACTTGGAAATACCCAGGGAAATAACGTACAAATTTGAGAAGTATTCCCAGAAACTGGAAATTACTGTACGTTTTTTCATGAGTGGTTGACCCCTCGCACAAACCTTAGTCTGATATGCACAGAATCGTGAAAATTTGTTCTGAACTCTCTCAACAGAACCTCGATATCATATGGCTAAAATTCACCTCAAAGTCATCGACCAAGTTTATCTGCTGCCTCTACCGACCGCCATGTAACACCGAGTACCAAAACTTTTTCGCGACATTATCCGAAAGCTGTGATAGTATACAGTCAAACTATCCACTGGCGGAAATTGTCTTTTTAGGCGATTTCAACGTCCACAATATACCCTGGCTGAAACACCACAACAAAACAGATAATGAAGGCAGAGAAGCAGAAGCTTTTGCCATAAGTTGTGGTCTAACGCAGCTCGTCGATGAACCTACCCGTATCTCAGAAAGGGGCGAATTTGCAGCGCTTTTAGACTTGTTCCTAACCACAAATCCTGACTCGTACACAATCCAAGTAGATACTCCACTTGGTTCGTCCGATCATAAACTTATAATAACAAAGTGCCAAATGCTCATCCCACCAAGCCAACAACCACTTCCTCGTAAAATGTGGCACTATAAATCGGCAAATGGAATGACCTAAAACAGTTTTACCTGGATTTTCCATGGCAAGAGGTTTGCTTTAAAACAGCTGATCTCACTATTTGCTGTGATGAAATAACACAAGTGATTTTGTCTGGAATGGATGCATATATCCCACATACAACTAAACGTAGAGCTTATGCAAAACCTTGGTTCAACGGCCAGTGTCAAACGGCTGTACAGAAAAAACACAGAGCATATAACCTTTGGAAACGACAACAAACCGCTCAAAACCACACAGAATTTATAGAAGCCAGAAATAGTTGCAAAATTACTATTGACTCCGCTAAAGAAACATACAATCAAAGAATAAAAAACAGGTTGCTGAATTGTCCAAGTAGTTCTAGGTCCTTTTGGTCTCTTGCAAAATCTGTTGGATCTAACTTCACCAAGTCATCCATACCACCACTTACAGATAAAAATAATCACTTAGCCACAACATCAGAGGAAAAAGCCAATATGTTTGCCCAAATGTTTTCCTCCAACTCCAACCTAACAGTGCCAAACGGAAAAACTCCACCGTTCATCGAAAGGGTTTCCCATAGTATGCCAGAGGTATCCTTTTGTCACAGAGAAATACGAAAATCCCTTAAAAAGCTGGATACAAACAAAGCAATGGGTCCGGATGGCATTCCCGCAATAGTACTCAAAAATTGCGCCAACGAACTCACCCCAACTTTCGCAAAATTATTCAATTTGTCTTACAGGCAAGGAGTATATCCATCATCATGGAAGTCTGCCGCAGTACAACCCATTCCAAAGAAAGGAAAAAAGACAGATCCGTTAAACTATAGACCAATTGCTCTACTTCCGGTGATATCAAAAGTAATGGAAAGAGTTATGAACAATCACCTAACCAAGTACTTGGAAAAGTACAAAATTATCAACGATAAGCAATACAGATTTCGAAAATATAGGTCAACTGGCGATTTACTTACATACGTCACCCACTTATGGCAAAAAGCGATTGAGTTGCGGGGTGAAACAAGAACAATTGCCTTAGATATATCTAAAGCCGAGTCTAAAGCATTCGACAAAGTTTGGCATGAAAATCTGCTCAGCAAGCTCAAAGCAATGGGATTATCGCCGAAACTTTGCACTTGGTTTGAAAGTTACCTAAAGGACAGATCCATTTATGTCGCACTGGATGGCCAGAACTCCAACTCTTACCAAATAAATGCTGGCGTGCCACAGGGAGCAATCCTTTCGCCAACCCTTTTTCTGATTTACATAAATGACCTCATAGATAAAACAGTAAATCCACTTTATTGCTTTGCAGACGATGGCAATGTAGTCTCCTCACTCATACCACCCACAGGTCTTTCCGCACGTGAATTCCATCATCTTAGACTAACTCAAATATCGCAGATAAATAACGACCTGGAGATAATAGAGGACTGGGGTAACAAAAACCTTGTACAGTTCAACGCGCAGAAAACCCAAGCAGCTCGGTTTTCAAAAAAGACCAGCACCGGTGAGCCAAACGTCATGCTATCTGGAAGTGCTGTCACACTACAGAGTCAGTTGAACATCTTGGGGGTTACTGCAGAGACCAACATGTCTTGGCACAGTCACGTGGCAGATATTGCTAAAAGGGCCTCCCAAAAGCTGGGGGTGCTATTTCGTACAAGACATCTGTACACACCAAGCCAATTGCTGACACTCTACAAAGCCCAAAGCTTGAATGTAGAATAGCTACTGGATACTGATACAAGACGTCCTGTGGAGGGATAACGGGCTGCAAGACGGATATCAATGCGTTGTCTCATGAGGGAGTGAAAATTTATTTTACACCACTTCATGCTTATGTCCGCCGGAAGAATATATGTTAAAAAATGGTAATACATCAGTCCAAGACGTTTTTTCGGGGAAAAAAGTTAATAAATCCGTTTTCTTTTTTTACTGAACTTTTGAGTTATTTACTGAACCGTTCACTGTTCATTCTTTTCTAAATCATACAGATGGAAAAGGACAGTTGACATAGCAGCTCAACAGGGGAGTCTGCTGAATACAGGAATTATAATTTCTGTTTACAATTCCAGGCAGATCATTTTTTTGCTGCTTTAAAATCAAATTTCTCAAATTTACCTAATACCTACTTACAATCCGTTAGGTGTTATGACATATCCACCTCAAAAAAAAAAAAAAAAAATGATTATAAGCTGTCAGAAAAAGAACAAATTTCAACCTTTTTTTTTTGATGTCCGTAGAGTCATTCAAATATACATATTAAGAGAATTTTGCAAAATAGAATTATTCTACGTGGTAAAAGCAAAAATATCTAAAATTATTGTGCGTAATTTGTAATTTGGAGTAGTATTCACATTTGTACCTGATGGATTTACCCCCGTCAAAATTAGTCAACTTCATCACCGTCTTGCAGTCCTTTCTTTCCATTTAGAACGTCTTGTATTTTTTTAAATGTTATCAATGTGTTCTGTTTTTCCCATTAGTATCAGTGCAAGACGGTGTAAAATGATTTCTCACTCCTTCATAAGACAACACATTGACCTCCGTCTTGCAGTCCGTTATCCCTCCACAGGACGTCTTGCATCAGTATCCAGTGGCTATTCTACATTCAAGCTTTAATCTAAATCAATAATGAAGTGGTGTGAAATGATATTTCACCCCTCTGAAAAATTGACAATTTCTATCCAATATAACAACCCCAAAACCTCCATGAAAACGTCTTGCATGTGTTGATCCAATTTTGTTTGTGTACAAATTAACTCAATAAATAAATGCAAGACGGTGTATAATTATATATTTTCCCTGTTTATGACGACATTTTCTGGAAATTTTTTTTCAGCGAAATCCCCCACTCCCATCTATTTCCCCGTACAGGTGCGTTTCAGCATCATGTTATCTAACTGATGATAACAATGCAAGACGGTGTAAAATGATTTGATGAAATAGGCCTCGTATCCCGTACTACTAGGGTTGGTCTTGGAACTATTATCTACAATAACTATATACTCAGATCGACAGTCACTAGAGAGTTTTTTACACTAAGATCTAAGAACAGCAAATTCTTGATAGTGAAAATCAGTTTTATCATTGAGATATCGGGTCTTCAAAAAAAAAAACAATCAAAGATTGGTATGGTTTTTTAAACGTATGTCTAAGAAACAGTAGTGCGACGTACGTTTTCGTAATCAAAGCAATCTTTGATTGTTTTTTTTTTTGAAGACCAGTTGCCTTTTATGGACTTTTCTTTTCATAGAAGTTAAATGCCTAAATTCTGCTGAGAATCATTTAGGAAAATAATTTGTCTGAGATTTTTTTTACTGTTACAAAATATTCAAGTGCCTCAGTCAATAATTTAGTGTTAAAAAAGAATATCGCCCCACTGAATACTCATCATTGGACTGGTCTGGTGTAGTGAGGATGCACTGCCCATACTCAACTTTAGGTCTTACATAGGTCTTGTACACCTTCAGGATCATCTAAATTTTCCATAAAACCAATAGAATGAACTTTCGGATACACTGAACCAAACTTTATCCAGGTTTAGTTGAATTTTCTTTTTATAGTGAACTTTTTCGAGGATTCCCCCTGATTTATCAATTTTTCGAGTTCAAAATTGCATTTTTTAGACATTTTCTGCAATATTCCACTTTTTCTTATTCAATTTTGCATCTCCAAAGCGAGCTTAAAATGCTCAATTAACAAAAATGCAACCTAAATTGAAGCTTTTGCCATAGGTACAATAAAGCTTTTCTAATTTCTTGGTTCAAAATTGCATTAAAAACCGAGTTAAGAACAACAAAATTGTTCAAATTTGTCCCAAAAGTGCTTTCTGTTAGCCATTTCTCTTAAAATATGTGAGGAATGTCCGAAATAAGTGTAAAATAGAGTTTCCTATATTTCAATTCATATTAATCAAAATCTATCCAAAGTAGTCTTGAAATTTGCGTTCAACAAAAATACAACCTAAACTGAAACTTATGGTCATACAAATATTTTCCTAGACGTATCATAAAAACCCTAACGGCCTAATTTGTACTAACAGTGTTTTCTTTTGGGTTTTGCCTTGCAAAAACATGTATAAAATTGCATTTTCTTTATATTTTCTGCAATATGTATGTATTGTAATATCATATTTCAGGAAGGAGACGTTATAGAACTTTGTCAAGTTAGTGATATCAGAGCAGGAGGTGTTCCAACAAACCAAAAGCTGATGAAAGATTTTTTAAAGAAGTATCCAACTGAATTGGATGAAAAGTCCTTAACCATTTGCAGCGGAACCGATTATATCAATATCAATTATCAACATATCGTCTGTCCTACACCAGAAATTGCAAAGGTAAAAAAATAACGAATCCTACAAAAATTCCATATAATTTTCATTTAATCACTTGCATAATAATTTTCGGAATTCGATTAATAATAATTAAACATTATTTAGTTTGTTATTTTTTAAGGATTGGTTGGACGGTCTTAGAAAAATTACTCACAATGTTAAAGCTAACAACGTTTGCCCAATGACCTGTTTGAAAAAACAGTAAGTCTTGTCCGAAAAGCATTTTTATGTGCATGTGACTTCTTTGTGTTTTGTTGCATGTGTGCTATATTCTTCAATTTAATGTATATCTGTTTCTTGGAATTTGTTTAAATTACCTGACTTCAACCAATGTAATGATTGTCTTTTTTTGTAATTATTGATACAGTGAAAAGTGCAGGTCGTAATCCTTTTGCTATAAAAAAAATCCCTTGATATTTTGGCATTTTCTGTTCAAACTCTCCAGCAACAATATTAATTCTAAAAATTACGAACTGTAAACAATAAATACTTTGAATAATTTGAAAATTTTAACATTCAATTTCAAGAATTTGTCATATCTATGGCCATTCTACTAAACTTTTCCCATTTTTCATGATCTGGCTGCTTTATATACCCATTATACCGTATATGATGCCCCAAAACCTAATTGCATAATAGTTTTCGTCCAAAGAATTGAATTATATTTATATTTCTAAGCATGAAAATTAAGTACCTACCTACTTATCGAATATTTTATTAACATTGTATTATTATTGTGCTATTTGTTTCTATATTTATGCATGGCTTTCAAAAATAACAACTAGACGTGGCAGGAAGGTCTAAGGAAGATAACTCACAATAACAAAATCTCTAATGTGTGTCCTACAACTACTTTAATGAAACAGTAAGTGTGCAATAATTCATAAATTAATAAAAGTAGTGAATTGCTTATATCAAGTTAGTCCTTGTCATGTATTAGCTTAGAGAAAAATGTTAGTCAGTATAAGCAAATTGTCCCAAATAGACTCACATTTTTATCAATGTTACATAGAAAATTATATTTTTTGATTACAGTTGGATGCGTCTAGGATTTTCAGTTGACTCGAAAGGTAAAATCCCAGTAAAAGTAATCGCAAGGACGTTTGCCTCGGGCAGAACTGAAAGATTGGTTTATCAGTTTTTGTCAGAACTCGGCCTGCCCAGCGAGAAGAATGCCACTATTGAACCAGAACAGTTTACATTTGAAAAGTTTTATGCATTATATCACAAAATTTGTCCTAGAAATGATATAGAGGAGCTATTTAAATCTATGTATGTATTTATTTAGCTAATGATTGTTATTATTAATTTTTAATATCTTTGTTAGTACACAAGGCAAAGGCGAATGCATGAACCTGAATCAATTTATTAATTTCCTTAATGATAAACAAAGAGATCCTAGATTAAATGAAATATTGTATCCGCTTTATGATGATAAACGAGCAATAGAAATTATACAAGACTATGAAACTGATGAGGCTTTGGTAAAGAAAAGTCAGCTAAGCAAAGATGGACTTATCAGGTTAGATTATACACTTATACCTATTGTTAGTGAACTGATTTTGAAATTTTTACATAGGTACCTAATGTCAGATGAAAATGCTCCAGTATTTCTTGATCGCCTAGATATTTACATGGAAATGGATTTACCATTGTGCGCCTATTACATAAATTCTAGTCATAACACCTATCTTTCGGGCAGGCAATTTGGTGGCAAATCTTCTGTTGAAATGTATCGTCAAGTATTATTAGCTGGATGTCGATGTGTGGAATTAGATTGTTGGGATGGTATAAGATTGAATTAACAAAGATTCTTTTTGTTAACAATGATTGCTTTAGGTAAGGGCGAAGATGAAGAGCCAATAATAACTCACGGCCATGCTATGTGCACCAATATTTTATTCAAAGACGTAATTTATGCGATTCGAGACACTGCTTTCGTAACATCAGATTATCCTGTTATTCTTTCCTTTGAAAATCATTGCTGTAAAAGTCAACAGTTTAAGCTCGCCACTTATTGTGAAGAAATTTTCGGGGATTTGCTATTGAAGGAGCCTTTGGAGGATTTTCCATTAGAACCAGGTACTTTTGGTGAAAAATTAGGAATCCTATCTCAGATTTTGTTTGTTTTAGGCATGATACTGCCACCGCCATGTCTTTTAAAAAGAAAAATTCTAATAAAAAACAAGAGGTTGAAACCAGAAATCGAGAAAAAAGAGTTGGAATTGTTCCGCCAAGGCCAATTTGTAATTGAAGACGAAGAAAAAGAGGACGCCAATGCGAGCTCGGATCGTCCAATTCCACCAGATGCGTCTGTTGAGGTATGTATTTTATTTTATCATTCTTTATAACCAAAGAAAATACAAAAATATCAATATTGTAGACTCCAAGCGGGGATGTGCCACCTGAAGGAGCCGATATCCCACCGACCACCCAACATACAAGCTCCACAACAAATGTGCACCCTCTTCTAAGTTCAATGATTAATTATGCGCAACCTGTTAAATTCCAAAGTTTCGATCTTTCAGAACGTAAGTAATAATTTTATTCAAAACTAATTTTGTGGAAATAGCATTCATTTTCTTTTTTTAAGAAAAAAATATTCATCACAATATGTCGAGCTTCTCCGAGCCAGCCGGACTGAATTTGTTGAAACAGCAAGCAATCGATTTTGTCAACTACAATAAACGGCAAATGTCGAGGATTTATCCTAGCGGCGCAAGGGCAAACTCTTCAAATTATATGCCTCAGGTAAGGAAAAAATTAAAGTACACTCTAGTCATAACTAATACATAACTGAAGGTTTTCTGGAATGCCGGTTGTCAAATGGTCTCATTAAATTTCCAAACATCAGACTTACCGATGCAGCTCAACATGGGAAAATTCGAATATAACGGCAACTGTGGCTACCTCCTGAAGCCGGACTTTATGAGAAGACCCGATAGGACTTTTGATCCTTTTGCTGAAAGTCCAGTAGATGGTGTTATTGCAGCTCAATGTTCTGTGCAAGTTATCGCTGGCCAGTTTTTGTCTGACAAAAAAGTATCAATTTCTGTGCTATTTAATAAACATATTATATATTTTTTAATTATTTAGATTGGTACTTATGTGGAAGTAGATATGTACGGTTTACCTACAGATACTATAAGAAAAGAGTTTAGAACCCGCATGGTTCCTGGCAACGGCTTAAATCCTGTTTACAATGAAGAACCATTTTTGTTTAGAAAAGTTGTATTGCCAGATTTAGCTGTACTACGGTTTGGCGTCTATGATGAAAATAGCAGGTTACTGGGGCAAAGGATTTTACCCCTGGATGGATTACAAGTACAATATTTCTATTTTTATTTATCCATTATTAAAACTCAAATTCTAGGCAGGCTATCGACATATATCATTGCGTACTGAAGCAAACTTCCCCATGTCTTTGCCGATGTTATTTTGCAATATAGAATTAAAAATTTACGTTCCGGATGGTTTTGAAGATTTCATGGCTGCTCTGAGTGACCCTAGAGCTTTTAGCCAAGCCAAAGATAAGCAAAATGAACAGATGAATTCAATGGGAATTGAAGTCACTGATACAAAGGCAGCTGAAAAGCAACCTAAAAAGGAAGAAAAGAAAGTTGGTAAGTTTTATTTGTGGTTTGTTGTGTTTTAGTTGTTTGATTGTTTGTTTTAAGAACCCCTCGTGTTTGAACCGATAACCATAGAATATATCAAGCAAGATAAAGGGTTTCAAAAGACAACCAAGAAGCAGCTTAAAGATTATGATACCCTCAAGAAGAAGCAGCAAAAAGAAAAAGCTTCGACACAAAAGAGTCAATGTGCTGCTATTGATAAACTTATCAAAGGCAAAAGGTAAGGTGGGTTCTAATTCGATAATACGGATAACTTCAATCTGATACCCACCCTCTGAATAAAAACTTTATATTTTTAGCAAAAATGATCTGGTAAATGACGAAAGTGTACGTAAGTTAGTAACAGAACAAACCATTGAGTGGAGCAGCCTGATGGAAAAACATAGAAAACAAGAATGGGAATTTCTAAGGACCCAATTGGATGATCAAAGAGATTTGTTGAAGAAGCATATGGAAATTTTACAGGGACAACAAATGCGCCAGCTGGAAGCCAAGCATGATAAGGAAGTCAAGGAAATGAACAGCCAGCAGGCCAAAGTGGCTGTAGAAACCGCAAAAGAGGTAATTTTTTTCAAACGAATTAGTTTGCCTACTCATTATAGCCGGAGAGCCAGCGCCGAAAAAATTCTCTGGATTTACTAAAGCCAGTTTTTGGTCAGTTGATTACAGTAATGATACATCATAGGCCTGATTATATATAACACATAAATAACAGTGATGTTTGTCAGTCAGTTGAATAGCGGAACTGGGCCAATCGGGTTTGTTCAGTAATATTAATATTTTTTGCAAATTACATTTATTGGGGCTGACTGACCAGCACGGTCCCGCTATTAAACTGACTGACTAACACTACTGTTATTTATATGTTATATATAATATGTATAACGATTTTCAGCTTTAGTAAATTCGTTGCATTACCCAAGTTATCTCGACACCTTTAACAAGATACCCTGGGTCCTTGTCCCAAGTTTCTCTTGACTGACCGCGGTATGTTTATGTACGTAAATACTGTAATCAACTGTCCAAAAACTAGCTTTAGTAAATTCAGAGAATTTTTTCGGCGCTGGCTCTTAGACTATTACTCATTCTTCTAGATTGCTAATGATAAAACGCTGAAAACCAAAAAAGACAAGGATCGTAGGCTAAAAGAAAAACAACAAAACAATACGAAAAAATTCATGGAAGAAAGGAAAACCGCTCTAATAAAGCAACAGCGGGAAAAAGACAAGTTGCAAATTACGCATGACAAACAACTAGAGATGCTGTCGCACGATATTCAAAAGATGATCGATATGTACAAAAATGAAGAAAAAGAGTACGATATGTCACCTAAAAATGAATTTTTTGCTTAGTTATATTTATGGATGTCAATTTTATATTAACACAGGATATCTGTTATGTGTAATTGAATGATAATTATTCCCTGCTGATAGTTGTTTGATGTTGAAGAGACAAGTCTTGCTCGTATATGTTACCTGGTGTAGTTTTTGGGACCCTTTTGCTGCTTTAAATAGTGTTAAAAATAAATATTTGGTACCAATTTACGATTATTATTAATATTGATAGAGAGATATGAATTTTTATCAAAAATAGTGAATAATTATATTTGCCTAAATTTTATTACATATTGTTATTAATATTATGATCTTACACAAATTTTAGAAAGTCGTTAAAATTCTGAATAATTTTAACTTGTTTCTGTTGTGAAATTTAAAAGTTTTATTGAAAATAATAAATAATTACCTACTGCAACTGAGATTTATTATACATATTTTTTAAATCCCATCATTAGCAATCGACATTAACAACAGAGTACAATTCATGAAGATCCATTGTGATGGCGGTGGAGATATACATGATTGAAGTACAACAAAATACCTACTCAGATTCAAAATAACAATGGAATTCAACAATATCTTGGAATAATGGAATGAGAACAGATGAATGAAAAATTGGTTCAAAAAACCTCGTTGCGTTAGTCTGATTTTCAGTAATTTTGCTAAAACCAAAGCTTTGGTCTACGTTACCTTATATAATTCTAGGATAAAAATACTTCAAAACAAAACCAATCCAGTTAAGGTCAAATTTCGAATTTGCAAACTAAATTGGATTGTTATCTATAACTCGATGTGATGCCGAAAGGGCCTCTGAAAAGGTAACGACATGAAATTGCTCCCTATCGTATCGGAAATCCCTATTATAGGTTCCAGAAGCACCTCAATTTTGGCTTCCGCACTAAAGACACTTTAAACGGAACAGGTTTAATAATTTATCAGGCTGATTTCATGTTTATGTGATCAACTTTATTCATGAATTTTGTATCATGACATAACATAATATTCTTTGTATGTTGATTGTTGATAAATTGATAAGTACACGGAAGATTAACCCTTTTCACCCTTGGAAGCTTAGGATATTTATTATTATTTGTTTTTTGTGTTTTTAAAGTAAAGGGTGTTTATATAGGTACCTACCTACATTTGTGATGAATCAAAAAAATGGACGGCTTCACAGCTAAAATTTACCTACGCTGAAATAGTTTCCTACTGAAGGAAATTGTTTGAAAATGAAAGTGACCTGAGGAACAAATAAATAGGTAAAGCTCAAATTAAAAATTGTATTTAAAATGTTATTTTACCCAAGGGTTTGTAGTGACGCGGAAATAAACCACCAAGAAAACAATTAAAGGTTCCGATTATTCTAAACAACTAAAGACCTAGGATCCAACTACCGAAAAATAATCAAGAATAACAAGGACTTACCAAACAACCATACCAAGAGAGATCATCACTTAGACAGCACAACTAGAAACTTCAATTAAAAATTATCTGAACATCGATATCCAGAAATTATTGAAAGCCGATATTGACTAATACATTGGAATGTGACTAAAGCAAAAGTTCATGGACCTTTTTTTTTTCGGTGCTTTCAACAATTAACATTCCAACGGAGCCGAAACATTTCTAAAAGGATCAATAAATCATGCACGAGCCTATATGATGATACCCACTTAACAAACCACTTAGCGACGCCCTTGATAGTTAATTAAAAGGGGACCAAATACACTATTTGATCGGATGATTCAACCACGAAAAATCGAGGTCAGAAACAATAAAGAAATTCAAGACAATGGAGGGACCAATGATATAAAAAGGCAACTTTGGCAGGAGAAAAATCAGTGTTCGAGAAAACCAGTGTTCGTGAAAGACCCGTGTCGGTTGAGTAATCAAGAAACAAGTAGTAATCGAGAATCGAGAGACCTGTGTCCAGAAAGTCAGAACTACGGCGTGAAAGAGTTGTCGAATTAACCGAGAGAAGAAGCACGACGTGAAATAACAGCGCGAAACTATTCGAGTTTTTTATTAAGTGTGCATAATTAAAGTAAATTCTTTCGACCAATAAGATTTCCATGTAATTAGGTGTGGCCAGCAGTAAATATATTATTGTTAAATGTAAGTAGAGTTTTTTTTTGTTCAGCCAGAAATTGTAAAGGCAAGAGTGTGAATCAAGTCAAACTGTAAATAATTTTTTTTTACTTGGAATCATATAAATTTTCCTTAACAGTTAATTGATGCTTATTAGAAATCTAACAAATTTATTGTAAGATTATTTTTATTACCGACGCCTGTTAATTTATAGCAAGCATTATTTATTTTAATAAAATGAACTTTATTTTAATTGACCACCATATTTCTGTGTTTTACTCTCTACCCGCAAATTGGACCCACTTTAAACTGTGTCTCAACTCAGAAACTAAAGTCACCGCTGCCAATTTGACATCTTGCCAAGTTTCTGAATTTAGGGTCTCACAGGTTTTCTAAAACCATAAATAAAATTTTGCAATATTTAATAAAATGGTGAACAGGGCTGGGACTCTGTAACGAATAGAGATATTTTCTCTATCTCTATTGTCATCCCCTCTCTATTGATTTCAAAGAGAGAGAAAAAGACAGGAAGTGCCATAGCGATAGGGATAACGATCTCTATCTGTTACAGAGTTCCAGCCCAGGCGTTCTTGATATACAGTGTCCCCCATAATGTTCGCTACATGTGGGAAAATTTTTTATTTGTAGGATATGGAATTTTTTCCTATGTGCGATTGATCCTGCATGTCCGATAACCTAAAAATACATTTTAACATCGATCACGTGATCACTGTTGTGGCGGCAAATTCGAAAACTTGGGTTAGATGGCAAAATTTCGGAAAAAGTTATTTGAAAAAAGTGATTAGAACCATGTTTTGCGAAAGTTGGAAAAAATTTAACAAAAAGTAGGAAATTACTTGTTTATCGCCATGGATCTCGTATCAAATAATATTATACCGTTTTTATTATTGAAATAGTCCAAGTACCTATCTCAATATTTAATATGTATGTATTGGTAAAACAAACTTAGATTCTTCATTGGAATCATTCCTAGAGAATTAAATAAAAATATTCGATCAGCACATGAAATTTTTCTGTAGCAAAACCCTGTATCTTGACAGTTAAGTAACGTGTTCTAGAACGGTATTGAAATACTTACCGTCAAACGGGGTTACTTGGGACTCAGGGAATACTTGGGACATTTGGCAACGGTGAAAATTTTTGACAGTTGCCAACAGCGGGGTGTTCAAAATGTTCGTTTTTGTTCGTGTTTATCAACTTTCGGTGTTCAAAATAGATATTTATCATATTTCCATTGAATTGATTCAAAAGTAGGTTATTTTATTTATTTTTCAAAAACCATGGTCTTTTATTAAAAAAAAATAGGTCGCAAACTCTGTGCGCCAGGAGGTTATGTTTTAAAATTTCCCAGGTATGCTTCTAAATATTGTTAACTTGGCTATTTTCCACTACGTTGCCATATGTATTTTTTTATTAAGATTTGTTTCTAAATATTGACAAGCAAAATTATAAACAAATGTCTGATGTGGTTGGTTTCTGTTTTCAGCAATGCTATAGGCGATAAGTTTAATGTTTATTTAAAACAATTATGCGTGAAAATATTGTTAGTTACCAATTATATATTATTTATAAAGAATAAATGTTCACTTTTTTACTTAAAACTTTGGTTTTTCTTTTTTTTTCTAAAGTTTTATACAGCTAAAACTTTTTTATTTTGTTTCTTATTGTCCCATGTTGCTTAGGAAGCTCCTAACTAAAGAATTAACGAAAATTTCAAGATGTCCCAATTTACCCCAACTTCCCTGGTAACTTGGGACAGTCACTAATTAATTTTTTTTTTGACTTTGTATATTTTTTTTTTCTATTAATTATGTTTATTTTTATTGGAACTTTGACTCAATATTTGAGCATGCTTTAGAAATGATTTTCCTAAATTTATCAAAGTTATCCAAGCTTGAATGTCAAAATTGTCCCAAGTAACCCCGTTTGACGGTAATAAAAAATCTCAATAAAGGTCCCTCCTAATTGTTGTATCAACAGTTAATTATTGCAAATCTCACAAACTGTCGACAAGATACTTACAGCGTATTGCTACAGAAAAGTTTCATATGCGCTAATCGAATATTTTTATTTAATTCCTGTATGTAGGGACCACACCAGTAGTAGAGACACTGTCTATTCTGTTTCTGATTAAGGAAAAGGGAATAAAAAAAAAACAATCACAAAAGAGTTTGCCTGTAGATATTTTTGGTAAAACTCCATACCCAATAAACACATCAGCTACATAAAGTTAAAGTAGAAATTTAGGTCCCTACTTTACCTTAATTATATAATTTTTAAGTTTTTTTCAAGTCTTATATAAACTAAAATTTAACCTAAAATGTCCCGCATACAAGTATTAGATGTAAAATTTATATCACATTGATTCAAACCATATTATGTACAGGGTGTTTCAAATTCGAACCACATCATTGGGATTTCGGAAACGGTGCAAGAGATACAGGGTTGGTTAAATCAAGGAAAATTGCGTAATTTGATGGTTAACATAATGCCGCTTTGATATTTAGGATATTTCGAATACTTCCGGAGATATTCGGAAAAAACTGAAATGTTCCAAAAATGTTTTTATTTTTTCCTCACTCTAACTGACTGACCTTGACTTAATTTACGTTAATCTCGCGTAAATCTATTTATATCCTCATTTCTATTCGCTATCCAGAATTCAGACAGCACAGAGACATCTCAAAGACATCCCTTAGATGTCCACAAACGACATTCAAGACGTTTTTTAGACTCCTGTTTACGTCTTCAAGATATCTTATCCATGAAGACGACGTATGTTACAACGCCCAACGTCTTTCAGACGTCTGCCTCGTATTCAGGACCGTTATTATCGCAGGTACCTACTCATTTATAACTTTATAAGAAATTTTTTTGTTCGTTGTGGGTACGCGAAAATGTGAACTAGGGAGAAAATGAAAAATTGAGTCTCTCGATATCGTAACTTTCTGACCGCGCTAAGAAAACTGATTGTCAGTCAATGTCATTCTCAAAAGGCGTCACAAAAGCGGTTTTGTCAGTCACTTTGATACTTACTAAAGGCGATTTCGCCCCAGATTTTTATCTGCTGTTTGGTAGACGAATGGTTAACCAATTGGTACGTAAGTGACGTAGCTCAACAATCTCATCCGAATTCAGTGGATAGGGCGTTTGGTACATTCTGACTTTGACATGTTAATTTGGACATGAGAGAAAAAGAAACAGAAAGCTACCAAACCTCCACTACCCAGTCAAACCGCGGTATAGCATCTGACAGACCAAAGGGCCTACCCATAGAGAAATATAATAAACCAAGGTGAGAGTTAC